GATAATTGCAGTATTTGGACAGTCAGCCTGGGAGTTCAGGTCAGTGTTTCGACCACTGAACTGGCAGGCAGATGTTCCAGGCAATACGCTATCATGGATTACTACTATGGATCGATTTGTGTAATACACAGCTTTGTAATAAATGAATACACAGCAAAACCCTGTTGACACCAATTAGGAATAATATTCTTCTTTGTTCACTGGCTGTAAGCACCTGCTGAAAGTCCTTTTCTTTTATCCATTTGGACTTTGCTTGGTACCAGGGCCTGAGTTTTGCGTGTACATACGCTTTACTGGCTTATTTATGTGCAGCTGGTTGTTCCTTGCTGTTCAGGCAGATGCACTCCAACTCCGAAGGAAGCTTCCAATTAGTCGACTTCTACGACATGCTTGTTGAGGACGCAGTGGGTTTGTTATTGGTTTTCCCACAATGGGGCCCCGGAACCCAAAGGAACCAACCACCTTTAAGGGGGAACACAGTGGAAGAAGTAAATCCTTGCAGATAGTGATGATTGTGGGTATTTTGTTTATTCTTGTATATAAGTTACCATTATTGATGTGATGGTTCCAGTTTTGAAGGAATACAAGAATAGACCCCCTATCCCTTCAAAAAGCATGTTGTAAAAGTAACTAACTAAGAATGTACTGAAATTGGATGTGGTGGGTTGTCACAGATGTTGCACAGTACTATCTGCCAACTGCTATTTTAAGGGAAAAGGGGGGGGGGTAGCGCAGAGGAAGATGTTAACATTGTTTTATTAACTCTTTGAATTACATTTTGGTAGGTTGTTTTTGTTGTTGTTATTATTTTAGTTGACTTTAGTTGTTTTTCTTTTTTAATTTTAGTGGATTTAATTTTTTTTAAATCCAGGAAACAAGATGTTCAGCTTTGAAGAAACTCAGGTTGATTTTTACTTGCCGCAGCTTCTCAATATGTACATACACATGCATGATGTGGCAGAGGCAATACATCCTTATCTTGTCAGCAGGTAACTGTGGTCTGAATTGTTTTGCCTTAGGCAGCTCATTACTGAAGATCATGAAGTATATAGTTCTCTGCCTGATTTGTAGCATTGACTTGATGTTGTCAGTTTGAAGCATATATCAGAGGCATTGGTTTGTCATGTGAGGACAGTGTGTGTAGTTGTCCAAATGTATTCAGGCATTCAGGAGTCTCTACATCTAATGGTTAAAAAACTCATGGGAAACTGAGCAGATGACAGCTATATAAAATTAACTCCACAAAAATCTCTGAATCCTAACCGAGACTCTAGAAGCAAATGGGAAAGTGATGAAACCTTCTGCCCAGCATTATTAAGGCGCTTACTTTCTTACTTAGTCGCTCCTATTCTACATTGGGGTGTAGAGGTTTGTGAGAGAAATCGCCAGACTTCTCTGTCAGCAGTTTTATTTCTGGATTAGTCTCATTCCAGTCCTCTGTCAGTTAGGGACTGTCGGATGTTGTCTTCCTTGTGGACCCTGGATCGCCCTGGAGGAGTGGTTCTTAGCCTCCCTTGCCTGCCACGGTGGTTGATATTCTCCCATTTTGCATACATGTCCAAACCATTGAAACTGACTGATCCACTCTAGTTTGTAAGACCTGGGTTTCAAGATTGTGATGTATTGTGTGATTGCAAACTTTGTCCCTTGTCACTTGGACCAATTTTCTCACATATCTCATTTCTGAGACCTAAAGCTGGCTTCTGTGAGCTGTTGTCATTGCCCATGACTCACACCAGTAGGGTAGGACAAGCACATAGTTAGAGCAGTACACAACCCTTTTCATCCTCTTTGCCAATTCCTCTTTTGCTAACAAACCTTTGGTTTGTTGCTTTGAACAGTCTCTCAGCAGCTGCTTTTCCAGTTGCCTTTGAGCCTTATTTGCTTTCAGCACAAGTCAGGTACTTTCTAACTTTCCATTCTCTTTCAGTGATTTTTCAGAGCAGGCATTATCTTCATTACAGTTCAGTTTTCTTTCCATCTGTTAACCCTTTTGCCTCGAGAAGGTTAAATCCAATCACTTCCGGTTGTGATATTGTCCTGTATATATAGCCGTATCTGCAGTGACCTGTTCTAGAAATCGTCAATCAGCAAGTCCTTTACAGAATGTCGCTGTCTTCACGGCACACCTGAAAGTATCCCTTTCCCTAGCCAGCTCTCCGGCCCCATGTGCTTTCAGTGATAATGCATCTTCAGTGTCTTGTATCCATCTTCGCGGTGGACGACTCCTGCCTCGCTTTTCACAAACTGCACTTTCCACCACCGTCTTTTCCAAGCCACCATGACGCTTGATGTGGCCAAAATACTTCACCTGTCGGGACAGGATGCTGTTTATGAGCCAGTTCTTGATATTCAACTCCTTCAGAATGTCGATGTTTTCCCTCTTCCATGGTATTCTAAGAATTTTGTGATAACATTTTGTTCTAGAAAAGTGTAGTTAAATTCCACTGGTCCTGTGTGGGCCATGATATGAATCTGTTAACTAAACAAAGCACTTTGTGGGGTTTCCTTGTGACCCCATTGGCTTTTTAAAGGCCAAGTTGATGTAAAAAATTTTCCTGTAAACTTCAGTGACAGATGTCACTGGTTTAAATGGCATGAGTCATCTGATACATTTTGTTCACACCTCAGGAAATGTATCTGATTTAAGGCTTCACTCTCTTTGTGTTGATTAATTATTCTCCTTTATATAATTGTTAAACCCCCCCCCCCCCCCACCCCCCCCCCCCCCCCCCCCCCCCCCCCCCCCCCCCCCCCCCGAATTTTTTTAAAATGTTGAAAATTGAAAAATTTTAAAAATAATTTGTGAGCTCTATAATGTTTTTTTTTTTTTTTTTTTAGAGGATTTTTTTTAGACGGATCTTCCTGACCTATTTTCTTGAGGGATTCATGTGGTAAAGAGGTTAAATATGCTTCATTTTTTTGTACAGTGAATTTAACAAAGAAGGTGTACACTGGAGCTCTTTAAAATAATCTCACACATAAAATGTAATTATTGTGTGAATTCTCCTGTCATTCTTTCAGAGAAAGCAAATTATAAACATACAGAATATAGCAATAGACTATAGAGAATGTATGGATGTAAATTTATAAATTGTTAGTGGAAATAGCTGGTAGATAATCTCCTTCTGCTCTTCCTCTTTACCCCCTTTCCTTTTTTTTTGCCTCTCTAAATTACAATAATGAAAAAGTTGTAGAACAGGTTTTCATGTGTGTCTCCTGTTCATTGCCCCAGCACTGCCATCTATCCCTATTTTGTCTTGTAATTATTTGCTGTATTCCCATTGTTGGTAAAATCAATTTCTGTAGTTAGGATGCATGGCTACACCATTTGTGTGTGTGTGTGAAGTTCAGCACAGGTAATAATCATTTTGCTTGCCTTCTTCTTCTGCATTCGCTTTAAAAAAAGCAGTGGCCACGTTGTATTGCGACTCACAGCCAGGCTGCGATATCTGCACTTTTTGGCCCAATACATCCAATTACAGCGATTTCTAATTTGTCACCTTTTTTGAATGATTGTTAAGGGGGAAGTGGATCTGTTCTTTTTCCCCCCATATTGGGGGTCCCAGAAACCACGTGGGGCAAATATGCTTCCTGAAAGTATTGTTTTGCAACACAACTTTCCTTGTCTTATAAAATGGTGATCATAGTGGTTGAAGGAAGAACTTAAATTGAGGGAGTAGTTTGTTACCAAGAGCCATAAGGAAAGCAGAGATGAGTAACACTAAAGAAAATAGTAACACATTGTGACCGTTGGTGTTAAAGAAGCAGTTAACAACACACCCATGTGTAACTGAGGCTTATAAAAGTAGCAATGTAAATCTTTACTCAACCATATCCGTACTATAAAAAAATAAAATCCATGTGTCTGTCACAAAAACTCCTTTATCGAGGAACAGTGGCTATGTGACATTTTCAAATGTCATTCTACCTGCCATTTCTAGGTTAACTGTTTTATTTTCAACTTTCACTTTCAAATATTATTATCGCAGTTTCCTGCATGACTTGCATTTGCAGTCAAAATCAGTAAGAGGCAGGAGAAATCACTCTGTGTCACAGGCTTGGATTTGACTGACGAATGCTTCTTGTATGTGGGATTGTCAGTGGTAAAAGATCCCTCAACATTGTTCATCCTCGCTTATGGTCAACAAGAGACTAAAAATATTGCGTGTAGCCAAATTTTGATATAAATTTGTAATAAGGGGAATACTATTGTAAAGCATGAATTTGAGTCTGTCTGGGGTGAAACAGGGTAATAAAGCTAGTGTGTTATAAAAATCTATTGGATGGGGGGGGGGGGGGGCATTGGCCATCTGATCCATTATAAAAAGTCGACTGTAAAATGCAGCCAGTCGTGAACACTAACTACCATGGGCTTAATGTGGGTTATTTGCAGCCCCAGACTCTGTTATTTAAAAGCAGAAGAAAAAGAAGAATGTAATGACACTTTAATATAGCAGAAGGGGTGAAGGAAAAGTATATGATGTTTACAGTAACATATCAACTTTCATAACAGCCTGTATTTGCTACCTGTGCCGTATAGACAGTGGGGGATCTTTGAGCCTGAGGGTTAACCACACAGGGCTAGTACAGTCACCATTGACTTAACAGGTTAGGATTTTAATTTTGCCTCCAGCAGAAAAACCCATAACTTTACCAAGGATTCACACCAGGGACTCCCGCATAAGGACCTAGCAATTTAAACCGTTTAGCATAGCCATTTAACGTTTAGGTGCACCATTTGAAACTGAATCAATTTGTGTCATTTATTATGTGTAGGTGCCGGAACTCTACCGAGTTCTCGATTAATGCAGCATGGCTTCTCAGTGCCTACTCAGCTGATACTCTTAAACCAAACTGGAAAAACTCTCAGGGCATCAAACTGAGAGACATGATATTAAATGAGGAACTCAGGTGAGTGTTATTGGAATGATTGTGATTGATTAAGTAAGAAGTGAAAAGCCAAGAAAAGACCATTTTCACATCTTTTGTTCAACTGGCATATAATGCTAAACCTTTTTTTTTAAAGGCTAATCGGTACTTGGTAAGTGATGTGAATAACATTTGCTGGCCGCCTCCTGGGTTCTCTGTCGGCACTATCTGCTAGAGCTCACAGCTGGTGAATGTGTCTGTGAAAGATCTGTAGTGGTAGAGTAGGTAGTGAGCTGACTTAAGTGGTATAATGGTTTGGTGTCAGTTACTGGTTCTACTTCTTAGTGTTCACTGGCTGTAAACTTGCTTAGTTGCTGTTCTTCTACCTTGGGATGTAGAGGTTTGCTAGAGAGATCATCTCTATCAGCAGTTTCTTTCTGGTTTTGTTCCATTCAAGTCCTCTTTCAGTCAGGGACTGTTGGATGTTGTCTTCCCAGCATGAGCTGTAAACTCCCCACAAAAAGTTCTCTTTTTTATCCATTTCTGGACTCAAGCTTTGTTCCAGAACTTGAGTGTTGCGTGCACATCCATTTTACAGATCTGACTTATATTTGTTTCACACTTTTGGTTTTTTGCCTCTCAGGGAGTGACTTCGAAGGGAACTCTTCTAGTCAGTCACCTTGTATGAAGTGCCAGTGCTTGTTAGGGAGGCCTTAAGGCTATTTTGGTTTCTCCAGACTCCAGAACTTACACAGGGAGATAAGTTGTTGGTTACAGGGTGTAATTTGTTTCGACCATGTGATCTCGGACTCAGCATGTATATATTAATGCCAGGGATTTATTTGGTAAAGAAATATAGCAAAGAAGAAGGCTAATCACCTTATCTCACACAGTTGTCTGAAGTCTTAAGCATTACTTCATTAGAAAATATCTTTGCTGTATCAGCTTGAGATCCTCTCTAGTACCTGCAGTTAAGTTCATATTAAATATTACCCAAAAAATTGGATAGGAGGGTCAGTAAAGAATAAATGTCAGTGGGTCAGAAATGGGGTCACTGATAAGATAGATAAAATACATACATGAAGACATCATTTAATAATGCAAAAATATGTGTTAATATGGATAAAGACTAAAGTATGGAATGTCCATTCATTTATAACATTGGGCAGTATTAATAGAGATATTGATAATTGGTATTGATATTGGAAGTAAATGTCAAAACCTTCTTCAGTGTTAAAAAAACAAAAACAGCCTTAACCATTTCTCCCTTTGGAAAAAGTCTGGTTCCAGGAGAACCAGTGGTATTTTGAGCAAATATATTCAGATCCTGACCTTCTAACGGCTGCATGGGTGCAAACACAGCCAACTAGGCATCTAAAAAACACACCACTGTAGAAATGCAAGTTAAGCGGTATTTATGGGAGCCACTGTAGGGTGTGCAGGATTCGTGACTTCTCATGGAGAAAGGGTTGACAAGGATTTGAACATAAATCAGGCTTTATTACTATGTAGTCATTGTAAATGGAAGCACCATCCATGGGAGGTCCTTGATCCAAACCACTGATATATCTCACTAGCTGGTTTGATATCAGCATATGTGGATTTGTCAAAATAAAATAAGACTTATAAAGAGTATCAGTGTGTGTGATTTTGTCAAAATAAATTAAGACTTTAAAGAGTATCAGTGTATGAGATTTTGTCAAAACAAATGAAGACTGTATGGAGTATTAGTATAGGTGAATTTGTCAAAATAAATTAAGACTTAAGAGTATCAGTGTATGTGAATTTGTCAAAATAAATTATTAAGACTAAGAGTATAAATGTATGTGAATTTGAGTAAATAAATTAAGACAAACGAGTATCAGTGTATGTGAATTTGTCAAAATAAATTAAGACTATAAAGAGTATCCGTGTATGTGAATTTGTCAAAACAAATTAAGACTATAAAGAGTATCAGTGTATGTGATTTTGTCAAAACAAATGAAGACTATAAAGAGTATCAATGTATGTGATTTTGCCAAAATAAACATTGTAAAAGAATATCAATGTATGTGATTTTGCGATGATTGCAGTATGTCTCTGCATCCAGGGGTTAAAAAAAGTAAAGGACCTTGTTTGAGCTATTGGCATATGGTGCTAGACCTGGTTCATTTGTGTCTTTCTCTTGATATTCATAATATGCATTTTATTATGCGAACATAACATGCTTTATTAATAAAATACAACTGCTGTGTGAAAGATGGATGTTTGGAAGAGCCAAATTTAAGATGGGCCTACGTGCCCAAATTGGGATCCTTTGTTCGGTCTTTCTAAGACCAATTTGTAATCAATGGGCGATGCAGTCAACATCATGCCAGCTGTCCCTACTTCCCAAGAAATTACCTGGAACTCAATTTATGTTGAGTCGACCTGGGAGCCAGAGTAAATATATACATATCTGATTACTTAGTGTGGGTTGAATCCCATTACATTTGGGTTGACAGGCAAGAGTCTGGCTTCTCTGCTGCCATGGCTCCCAGCACCCCAGAATAGGGTAGAAGAGGAAACATACCTAATGAAAGTATATAGTCAGATCCAAAATGGAGAAATGTGGCATGAGTGGTTACCAAGCATTAATACATCATCAGCATTACAGGAAATCATGTGGATAAACTATCTAGGAGATGCATGAGTGCGAGGGAATGAAAGAGCGGATGTTATGGCTACAAAAGCGATAGCTATGGGAACACTCATGCTGGACAAGGAAAAGATTCTGAACGAATGCTGATAGAAGACACAAGGCTAGATGAAATAACATGTATACAAATTTGTGAACAAGGATTTGGGTGTGGATCTGGCAAGAACGGACGTATGAGAGGAAGAGAATAGCATGTGTGTGATCAGTGTTCTATGGAACCAGTTAGTAACTATACCTTAAGACATTAGCTGTGGGAGATGGAGCATTTATGGGTATGCCCGGTGTGCTGTGATGTCAATTCTTTAATCAGTAAAAATAGTTAAATGTTTTTTTATTGGGTGTTTTTTAAGGCCACTGGCCACGAGTCCGACTGGCAACCTTCACACAAAGTTTCCAAGCACACAGAGTCATAGAAAAAGTCACCCCTCTGGAACAGGGGGCACCGGTCTGATCAGCCCACCCCAGGCATCAACACCGATTGGTCAGCCGGCCGGGGGTCAGCCAGTTACCCCAATGTCCACTTCCTTGCAGCTGGAGCAAGCTTCCTCCAACAGTCTGGTGAAGAAAACCCACCAGAGATCACGCTCAGAAGCAACAGGTAGATGTTTATTCATATATTTTTTTAAAAACTTTTTCTGCTTGTCTCTGGGCTCAAAGGTCACAAGTTAAAATCTGTGTCAGGTCAGATTTCTCTCTCTCTAAAAAATAACCAGGTTGATCCAGCCTAAAATGGGTACCGGATAAGGTGCTAGGAAGTAAAGATGACCGGAGCATCGTTGACCGTCACCCACCTAGTGAGTGCCTATTAGTCTGTAAATTATAGGTCTCGAAGTATATACCCAGAGAGCCACTGAGTGTGGCGGCTAGAAGCTCGCCTGCAGATATAACAGTTGTGGGTTTGGGTCTTGCCGAAGCTGGACCTTTTTTCAAACATGACCTTGGCTCTCAGGTTGATCGAGCCTTGAGTGGGTCCTGAGAAGTAAAGACGGCCAGCATGATGCTGACCATGTCACCTACCCAGTGGCAATTGGTCTATAAAATATGGGTCTAGCCCTATACGCTCATTGCGCCTGAGGGCGTGGAAAAAGGCCCATTACTTTTACTATGAAACTAGTGTGCCTAAGGGTGAGTGGAAAATAATCCTTAACCTTTTTCCTACAGTATAAACACAGTTCCCTCTTAAAAAACACATCACTGACTTTAATTTGGCATTATAAATCTCTAGGAAAAGTTTTTTAAATTTTGTTGTTTTAGGTAACAAATCTCTAGGACAGGTTGTTTGTGTGTGTGTGAAACAAATCTCTAGGACAGGTTGTTTAAGTGTGTGTGTGAAACAAACAAATCTCTAGGACAGGTTGTTTGTGTGTGAAACAAACAAAGCACTAGGACAGGTTGTTTGTGTGTGTGTGTGTGAAACAAACAAATCTCTAGGACAGGTTGTTTGTGTGTGTGTGTGAAACAAACAAATCTCTAGGACGGGTTGTTTGTGTGTGTGTATGTGAAAAACAAATCACTAGAACGGGTTGTTTGTGTGTGTGTGTGAAACAAGCAAATCTCTAGGACAGGTTGTTTATGTGTGTGTGTGTGTGAAACAAACAAATCACTAGGACAGGTTGTTTGTGTGTGTGTGAAACAAACAAATCACTAGGACAGGTTGTTTGTGTGTATGTGTGTGTGTGAAACAAATCACTAGAACAGGTTGTTTGTGTGTGTGTGTGAAACAAACAAATCTCTAGGACAGGTTGTTTGTGTGTGTGTGTGAAACAAACAAATCTCTAGGACAAGTTGTGTGTGTGTGAAACAAACAAATCACTAGGACAGGTTGTTTGTGTGTGTGTGTGAAACAAACAAATCTCTAGGACAGGTTGTTTGTGTATGTGTGTGAAACAAACAAATCTCTAGGACAGGTTGTTTGTGTGTGTGTGTGAAACAAACAAATCACTAGGACAGGTTGTTTGTGTGTGTGTGTGTGAAACAAACAAATCTCTAGGACAGGTTGTTTGTGTGTGTGTGAAACAAACAAATCTCTAGGACAGGTTGTTTGTGTGTGTGTGTGTGTGTGTGTGAAAAACAAATCACTAGAACAGGTTGTTTGTGTGTGTGTGTGTGTGAAACAAGCAAATCTCTAGGACAGGTTGTTTATGTGTGTGTGTGAAACAAACAAATTACTAGGACAGGTTGTTTGTGTGTGTGTGAAACAAACAAATCTCTAGGACAGGTTGTTTGTGTGTGTGTGTGAAACAAACAAATCACTAGGACAGGTTGTTTGTGTGTATGTGTGTGTGTGAAACAAACAAATCTCTAGGACAGGTTGTGTGTGTGTGAAACAAACAAATCTCTAGGACAGGTTGTGTGTGTGTGAAACAAACAAATCACTAGGACAGGTTGTTTGTGTGTATGTGTGTGTGTGAAACAAACAAATCACTAGCACAGGTTGTTTGTTTGTGTGTGTGTGTGTGTGTGAAACAAACAAATCACTGGGACATGTTTTGAAAAAAAAAAGTTATCCATGTTTGCTGCCTCAAAGACTGGTACCCAGTGACTCAAAGAACCATATATGAGTGGGAATCCAACAAGAGTCACCAAAGAAGAACTAGGAACAGTAGTAGACACAGTAACAGTAAATGATTTCATAGAACATCAAAGATTCAAATGGTTTGGTCATTTGATCAGAATGGAACAAAATCAGCCAGCGGCTAGAGCATAACACATGAGAACAGTAGGCTACAAAGAAGGTATGAAGTCGACCAACAAAGATATGGTTGGAGAGAGCAGAAGAGGCACTACATAAACACAGTACGGCATTAACACAGGCTATGCAACTAGCCAACGAAAGGAAACTACATTTAACTCCTTTCTGTGATGCTTTATGGTATAAGCAATAGGACTAAAGAAAAAGAATCTGATGGGAACAAAACCCCATTCCGACAAATAACACAAGTTATATTTGGACTTCCAGAGGTTAAGAGTAACCTGTTGTCCAATATGGGTTGGTCACAGAGGCCTTATTAAACCTGAACCGAGACGTGCTATCAGAATTTAATGTAAGTTAAAGACCCTTGACTACTATGTTCTGAGATGTGTTGGGATATATGGTGCTACTCCCATAGTCTTATAGACCAGTCTTCTTCTTATAGACCATGCCATGTGGTGTTGGTAGTCATGTCTGTTGACAACCTTCTGTTCCATGTACTCTGGTTCGTCAAGGATTGTAAAGCACTAACCTTTGAGCAGTAGAACAGAAAAATCACGTAGAAGAAAAGTAGATCTTTTCTTCTTCTTTTTCTTCTTCTTCTTCTTCTTCTTCTTTTTTTTTTTTTCCTAATGCTCACCGGTTGTAAACTCAGGCAGAAGGTTCTGGTTGTTTGTCTACTTCTGGACTTTTGGTCTTGTTCCAGACCTTGAGTTTTGCATGGACATCTGTTTTACAGATCTGGCTTATTTGTATGCAGACTATTGGTTGCTCGCCACTCAGGCAGATGCACTCACACTTCAGAGGAGATAGCTCAGATTAGTTGCCTCTTATGACATTGTATTCTTTTGGAAAGGGGAAGAGGGGCAATGGTCCTTCCCACCCAAATAGGGTCAATGATCGGAAAGTAGCTAAAGTAAAAGTTGTTTAAAAAAAAAACTATTGTGCTATGAACACTTTAAATCATTTTGCCATGAATCGCAGGTATCTTTCCGAAGCACAGTGAGACGCCAGCCTCCCTAAGTACCAGCAGTTCCAGCTATATAGGAGATCTGTCATCCGGCCGAGCGTTTGATAATGGCTGTCTGTGTTATGTGAAATCTGAAGCGGTGCTTAACAGTTTGAAAGGAAGGGAAACCATTTGTCAGTGTGATGTAAGTTTCAAATTTTTGCTTTTCAGATAATGTTGATTTTATGCTGCTGTTTCTTTTTCTCTCCCCTCCCCCTTTTTTCAGTTATTTATTCAGTGTGGTTTACAAAACAGTTTTATTCAGAGACAGTAAGTGCAAACACAGAACACAAACTCTGTAGCTCCAGCAACAATCATCAGCCGTCTCCATAAAAACTGCACTAGGGAACTGAATGTTGCGTCTGTGAAATGAAACTGAGGAAGATGGCTTGACCTAGTAAAATATCTAGTCAAAGCACAAACTGTTGTTGCTCAGAACCCAAGCACAGATCATAATCTTCTATTTCTTCTTCTTCTTCTTGTTCTTCTTCTATAGTCCTGTTCAGCCTTTCCAGCAAGAGGTTTTGAAAAGGCATCAAGTGCCCAACTTGTTATGTGCTACGCAGATGCTGGTATATTTATGAGGTCGGATATTTCATCTATCCATCGTTTCCGAGGTCGACCTCTGGAACTGCATTTGCCCTTAATAGGGCAGTTGGCCCGATATTATTTACAACTAGGCTTTGATATCTACACCTTTTATTACAAAACACCAGATTTCAGCAAATTCTTAATTAGTCAACTTTTATGGCAGCTTATTGCGAGGCAGGGGGTCGGATCTTTTCCTCCCCAACAGTGGGTAAGCAAATTTGGCAGGTTATCATATTCAGATGAGTCACTGATCATAGTTGAGGAAATCCATTTGTTCATCCACATCTGGATTTTGGTCTTATGACATCTCAACTCTAAAGCAGATTCATGCCGATTTTTAAGGAAACGCCCCTAATTGGGTGACTTTTATGACATGCTTTTTAGCGCCCCATGGAAGATTCAGGGGCAATAAGTGCAGATCCTGAACACAGACTCGGTAGCCCTAGCAAGGTTCTCCAGGGATCTCCATGAAAACTGTCCTTGTGAACTGAATAATGCGCCTATGAAATGAAGCTTGTAGGAAAATGGCCTGACAATTTTGCCACAAGGACCCCCACCTGAAAATGGGGCTTTCTGAAAACACATAGGGAATTCAGGAAATACATTTATTTTCACTATAGAAACTGAATATGTAATTATTTCACACTGCCTTGACCCCCATCCAACCCAAGTAAATTTCCTGAACTATACATAAACAAAACACAGGGTAATTTTTAATTCTCGATTTAACCCTTAACGTTGTCGCTATTTAGGCCCCAAGGTTGTTGCCAGAGGAAGAATTCATTAAAGCACTTCTCAACATTGGCAAGAAATTACAGCCACTGCCAACAAAGGAGCTCAGAAGTGAGTTAAATTCTTGATCTTCTTTCTTCTTTTTGGTGTTCTAAACTCTGTTGGAGAGCTCTTGTTATTTGTCCGTTTCTGGAGTTTAGTCTTTTTCCAAAACTGGAGTTTTGAGTGCACATCCATTCTACAGATGTGGCTTGTTTATTTGCAGATTGTTGGTTCCTTGCCTTTCAGGCAGATGCACTCAGACTTTAAAAGAAAAACTCATAATTAGTCACCTGTTATGACATTCTTGGGGGTGGGGAGGCAAAATCCCTTGAAGTGATGCTTGCCACTCTGCACAGAATAAACCTGTCTCCACCTTTGTCAACATGTTCTGTGAGTCAGATACAATTACAAAACGTGTGTACAGCTGATTCTCATGCTGGCAGAAGGCTGCAGTGACTGCCTTCACCTCCTGTGCCAGGCTTTGTAGCACTAAGTGACATCCATTCACTTTTGCTATGAACCCCCTTGCACTTCATCTACCTCTCAACACAGAGCCATCTGCACAGATAATCACCTCACCAAGGCAGGAATTGCATTGTCATGAATAATTTGTTGAACTTCTGCAGCGCTCACTGGCCAGTCCCTGCACTCATGACCCAATGTGATTAGAACCCTATACAGTTCTGATTGTTATATATTCATATACTCAGTAGTCCTCAGACCGTGACGATGGGACTTGTGTGCCCTCTGAGGCTTTGAAAAACATCTGAAGCAAACTATTTTAAATCCTTGTGCTGTTTATATTCTTCAGCATCTCAGCTGATTGCAGAACTGGCCCTGCTCAACTTGAATCTGCCAGCAAGGGTGTGGTTACCAACATGCCAGTCAAGGAACCATCATGTTGTGAGAATACCTCACACCCAGGCTGTTGTACTCAACTCAAAGGAGAAGGTATGCCATTAACTGTCCTCCCTAATTCTTGTTTACATGACTTGTTTGTGCTCTTATATGGAGCTGAGGCTTCAAGAACAGCTTAAAAAAAAATTAAATTAAACTACAGATGTTCATCAGGTTGTGCCTGTACAGAATAAAGAGAATTGAATATGTCAGAAAAACTACTTCTATAGAGCCTTGGGAGAAAACTAAGCAAATTCGGGTGAATCAGGAGAAGAGAAAAAGATGATGGCATTGGATAGGACACAGTGAGTAAACCTGAAGATACTATAACTAGAAAGTCCTTGCACCGAACCAACAGGGTCAAAGGATAATGGTAACCCAACCCCCCCCCCCCCCCCCCCCCCTTTCCTTTCCAGAAATATAAAAACTGCTAAGAAGGGAATTAAAAATGGAAGTGAAACAAATGGGGATATCTGCATCTGATTAGCAAAGAATAAGATGCTGCCAGGGATTGAATGAGAGCCTATGCTGCACTGAGGGATAAGGGAACAGAAGAAACAGGCATGGTTGGTTGTGAATCCTCTGAAAGACTGAAGCTCAATTCTCAAATCTGTTGTGTTAGCATTGAGGTTGTCTGAGTGCTAAAAAGGGCTTTAATTACTGAGAAGGTTGCTAGTTTCCTCCCTTGCTGACTTCCTATCCAGACTTATTTTATGAGGCTGAGTCAGCCCCATAATTAAGATATTAAAAAAAAAACCTATTTATGTTTATCAGGCATATGATACTAGACTTAGATTTGTGTTATTGACCAGTCGGCTCTTGCTTGGTGATGCTGTCAACATCATGATGGTTGCTTTCATTTCCCAGGATGTTTTCTAGTGCTAGTTTTAGGTTTGGCCCATCTGGGATCTCTATAGTCTTACTGGTGGGTAAAAAAAAGTCTTGCCACCATTGAAGGTTGAACTTGATCAACTATTGTCCATAAGCAGACTCATTAAGAAATCTGTCTCCTGCTCCGGTTTAACTCTTTGAGTCCCAAGGAACGCATCAAACGTTCATAAGTCCCTACCTAGAAGCCCAAAGAACGCACGATGCACCAATTTTATGACTATTTTTACTACCCCCTGGGCCTGTGATGCTAAACCTCCTGGAACTCAAAGAATTAAGCCTTAATTGGTAACATTGTTCTCTGTATGGGTTCCGGAGCCCTGTGTTCGCAGGGAAGACAAGAATGTGGATTCCATGTGTGTGTTAGGAAAGGGGGTGGGGGGTGTAGACCCACTGCTCCTTAGCAGTTGATTAGTTAAGAATTGATATAATAGGATGTGTTGGGCTTAAAGGCAGAGATTTCACAGCCTAGCTTAAACCGCAACGCTGTCGCCCTTACAATTCTTGCACCAGTAATGCTAAAATAAGAGGTTATCACTCCATGGGATTTCTTGAAAGAATTTTCTTAAAAACAACAATTTAACACAGGTCAGTAATAACCCTTAAAAATTTTTTTTTTAATTTGTGCGCAGAAATATATTTTTTTAAACGAAATATATGTATATATATATATGTATATATATATGTATATATGTATATATATATGTATATATGTATATATATATGTATATATGTATATATATGTATATATGTATAAATATGTATATATATATGTATATATATATGTATATATATATATATATATTGGAGCAGACAGAATTTATAGTAAATTTGAAGCTACCCTGGTAAGTCACATGACTATGGTGAACTGCCGGCGACTAGACAAACCACTATGCATTCAGAGAAATTTTTTATATAAAATGAATAATAAATAAACATGAATAGAGTGAAACATTAAATGGAATACATTCTCTGGGTCCTGAAAATGTATGCATCAGAAGACGTTTGCCATGACTTCCATCACTGAGGCTTACATTAAAGTTTTATTTCTTCTTCTTCGTGTTTGCTGTAAAATCTGGCTAAAAAAACTCTGGTTGTTCGTCCACTTTTGGACTGCAGCCCTGTTCCAGAACATGAGTGTTGCGTGTGAATCCATTTTACAAATCTGACATTTGAATGCAGACTGCTGGTTCCTTGCCTCTCAGGCAGATGCACTCCGACTTCAAAGGAAGCTACCAATTAGTCAACTCTTGTGCCATGCTTTTGGGTAGGCAGTGGGTCTATTCTTGTTTTCCCTATAATAGGGCCCCAGAACCCACATGGGGATATTGATATCAACACTTGGCTTTTGAAAAAGCATTTAGTTTGAAGTAAAAGCCCTTGAAATACTATTTTTATTAGTTAATATATTCACATCTTGACCACATAAACGTTTGCACAGGCATAAACACAGCCAGAAGCATTATCTGAACATCCTGTAAAGTGGTCACTGTAGACAATTAGGAAAAGTGACATTTATGGGTAATTGGTCACAGCTAGAAGTGTCTTTTTTTACAGCTTCTCAGGGCAGCAAGATTAAGGTTAACAGGAGAAGAAGAAAAAGAAGATAGGTAACATTTGAAGCACATTTCTTTAATGACTATAAAATATTGTTACCCAAATGTTTCCACTAATCTGACCAGGCTCCATACATGATCTATGTGGAAGTTTTGAGGTGTGAGAATGCAGCCACTAGCCAGGTGCCACAGAAGATCCTGGAGAATACGCTGCGGTTTACACGCTCTGAAGAGGACCTGACCCAGTTGGCTCAGCCCTCACATGGATCACCCCGGCCAGAGTTTAATGTTTATGGATCGTTACATGATTTTGACGATGCCGATTGCTGGTCCCAAGAGGATGATGATATTATTACGGTAAGGTGTCATTGATTTTATTTTCCTTCGTCACGTTCTGCAGGTGTTTAAACTTCAGCGGAATGTTCTGTTTTTTTCCCCCCTCCAACTTCTGAGATCTTGTTCCAAAACCGAGTTGTGCCTACATGTTCACTTTGCAGGTCTGGCTTATCTGTATGCAGACTATGGGTTCCTTATCTCTCAGTCAGATACACTCTGACTTCAAAGGAAACATACCAGATTAGTTGACTCATATGGCATGGTTGTTAGGGTGTAGTGGGTCTGTTCCCCCCCCCCCCCCCCCACCCCTGCCACCCCCACAAGGGTGCTCCAGAACCCACACGGGGAGTATCATTGTATGTTGTTGAGTTGATTAATGACATTACAGTACTCAGGATATTCCCATAAATGCTCTGTTCCCATCATCAGCAGCCACCACAGGGTTCTGATTTTGATGGTCTCAGCAGTAGTCTAATTATGTGTACATCTTGCTCTTCCTCAGAGTGTGGAGTGTCAATCAGGTCCCTTAGTCGCTCCCCACCACCCTCTTCAGACCGGGATGATCTGTTTGTGCTTCTGCACTGTTCACTTGCTCCCAAATGGCCTTTGGTATGTTGGACAGTGAGCAAGCAGAGAGACTGGCTAGTTCTGCACCAGTTGGTGGTGAATTGATGTATGACAAGTTAGATCTTGTGGGGGCGAGTGAACACTGCAGAGGCAGAAATAGATCATTGCCATGTGAGGAGAGTGGCGCTGAAGGGAATTACTAGGGGATCTGGCCAACGTTCAACACTCACGGGAAGGGCGAGGCGGATGCACTATCACAGTTATTGGTACGATCAGAATTTGAACTCTTTGCTTGCTGCTGAAGATGGGGGGTGGAGCTTTTATGGGAGTGTCACAGACTCTCTAAGTCCTAAGTCACCATTTATATGGCCTTGACCACATCTAGCTTAAAATGCAATTTCTTTAAATTACCACCAAGTGTTGCAGAACCAACCAGTAATAAATTTAAATTGAGTTGTGTGTTGGCTGAGTTCCATGTTTTTTTTTTTTTTTTGCACACTCTGAGAATGCCACTGTCTCCATGTGGTAAGAGCAAGACTTGAGTGCTGATAGTCTATCATCAACACAGGGAATAGCTTGTGACTCTAATGCAGTTCCACAGTTTGGAAAGTTTGTGCCTGTTAGACTTCGTAACATAGAAAACTTTGTACAGTACTCAGACTTGGTTAAGCTTTTCTCTTGAACCTGGGGCGGCACATAGAGCAGAAGTCATAGCTCTCCATGTCTAGGGGTTTGTTGCCACCTATTTGAAGTCTTGGAAGGTAATTAGACCCATAGTTGAGCCTTCCCTGATGATGGTAAAACGCAGGGTCTCTCTTGGTCTTCCCGTTTTCTTATCCCTTCCAGTGCCCATATGAAGGATTTGATGGAGAAGTCTTGTGTCTTATCCATTCTGAGTTCCAGCGGCACTGTCTTATAAAATTGGACACATTGTCTTGCTTAGTGACTTGCCTTATTAGTGTATTGGATCTGAAATCTGTCCAGACAATATTGAAACAAAGCACAAATAATTGTATATCTTACATATGTTTTCTAGTTTTATAATCAGTATTTCTTATTGCTGCATCTTCCAGCTGGCCAACCACTGCAGATCCAGCGACACCATCTCTCAGTTTTCAACAGAGAGCTCCATCAGTGCAGACAGCAAAGACCCAGTCTACATCGCAGCTGGTGATATCAGGCGCAGATTGTCTGAAAATTTTGCTGCTCCAAAGAAAAAGTTTGAGGTCCTAATTTTTGTTTTAAATATAACATTATTTAGATATTCTTTGAAATCTAAGGGAGGCTTGAACAAGAGAGTTGCTCTATGTTTATATCTTTATATAGAGTAAGAGGGAAAGCTTTGCATTTTGTTTATTAATGCAGTTTGTTTTCACTTTATCATCATTCTCTTTATCTCACTCTGTTCAGTTTCATAGGAATCGAGAAAATCTTCCGCATATCACAGCTGAGCTAAGTTTTATGTGTTGCACGAGCGCGCACACACACACACACACACACACATGTATATATACACACACACACATGTATATATGTGTGTGTGTATATGTATTTATATATGTATATGTGTGTGTATATGAATTTATAAATTTATGTGTACATGTGTGTGTGTATATTTTTATGTATATATGTGTAGTTTTTCTTTTTTGTTTATGCCTGTGTTGGGGGGGGGGGGGGGGGGGGGGGTTCAAGTCCATGCTTTGTGGCATTAGTTGACAAATCTATCCACAGCCTTTTATTCCAAATAATTTTTGGTACCAATGTTAGTCCCCATACCATGATGCCCGACTCTTATCTTCTGTCTTGTAGTTGTGTTCAATTATTTTGTGTTGTTCATTAGTGTCCTTGTTGTATTTTATCTGTTGAGGGCTGTTGCTTTATATGGTTTTAAATTTCTTGATAGCGTGATCCTGATGACCCTTCGGCCGCTGCTCTGAAGGAGCCCTGGGAGGACAAGGTGACACGTATACGCCAGGCATCCCCTTATGGCCATCTGCCAAACTGGCAGCTGATGTCAGCTATTGTGAAAGTAGGAGATGACTTGAGGCAGGAGTTGCTGGTCTACCAGCTTCTGAAAAGGTTAAAGGTGAGAAGGGTCTTTCGTCAGAAAAGAAGGAATTAGATGGTATGATAGATTCACTAATGTTGAGCTTTGGGAGAGAACTAAACAAGTTCCAGTGGACTAAGAGGTGAAGAAAAGACATTTGCATTGGATAGGAAACATGTTGAGAAAACCTGAATTGTGCCCTGGAGAGAATGAGGCACCTGTGTGTAGCCAGAGGGTCTGGCTGGCACAATACACTCAGAGGATAGGCAAGACGGACATATAACCAAATTGTGACCGGTACCATCGGTTTTGGAACTCTGGGCTGGCTGCTGAAGATGAGAACGGAGCAGACATGGTGATGCCCTGAGTGCTGTGATGTCAATTCTTGACTCAACTCAACTCAGCTGAGAAAACCTGAGAACAGTTTCAGCTAGAATGTCTTTTCACTGGAAGCTACGGGGCACAGAAATAAAGGCAGGAAGAAAAAAAAATCACGAAGGAAGCTAGAGAGTGAAGTTAAACAGATGGGGAGGGCATGGGGTGAGGTGTGTGCATTAGCGAAGGATGGAATGACATGGTGTGAGTTGGTTGAGGGAATAGAAAGCAGAAGAGGAGGAAGGGTCTTAATGTTCCAAGCCATATCTTTTGTTATAAGCCTCAGGCTCCTAGAATTCAGAATCTGGCTCATCTGTGTGGGTTCTGTAGCTCCCACTTTGGAGAGAGAAAAAAAAAAGAATAGACCTATTGCCCCCTAATAAACGTGTTGTAAAAGTCAACTAATTAGGGTGTTTTCTACAAAGTCAAGAGTGCTTCTGCCTGAGAGGCAGTTTGTACAAATGGATGTGCAGAATTCAAGTTCTGAAAGAAGACTTAAGTCCAAAAATGGACAAATCACCAGCACTTTCTGCAGGAGTTTGCAGCCGGTGAAGCTAAGAAAAAGAAGTATAGATTTGTTTCCCTGTCATTCTTGTAAAAACTACTTGTTCCGATTGATCAGATGCTGTGGGCTGAAGAACGCCTGCCCCTGTGGATCAAGCCTTACAAGATCGTGGTCACCTCTCGAGACAGTGGCATGATTGAGCCTGTCATGAATGCAGTCTCCCTGCATCAGATCAAGAAACACAGCAAGATGTCCCTCCATGAGTACTTTATCCATGAGTTTGGCCCCCCAACTAGTGAAGAGTTCCTTACAGCACAGAGGAACTTTGTTCAGAGCTGTGCTGGATACTGCCTTGTGTGTTACCTGCTGCAGCTGAAAGATAGGTCTGCTTTGGTTTTCTCAGTCTGTTTAAATCATTCATATCACTTGTTTTCTTGCTTGCTACATACATCCAGTTTTAACATATGGCTGTGTCCTGGACAATCGGTAGGCAGGCCAAACCATTTTTTGAGGACTCAGAGATGGGGTTTTACAGAAGAATGCTTAAAATACCTTGGACAGTCAAAAAGAGCAGCCAAAAGGTTTTGAAAGAGGTGGGAACCTGAAGACTAATCACAGACGTAAGAAGGAGACAGTCATCATTTTTCAGCCATTGTTATGAGAGGAGGGAAAATGTACTATGTTGTGACCACTGGAAAGATCTGGGGAAGGAGGGATAGAGGAAGACAACGAGAGATAATTCTTGACAGTCTTGTTGCATGACATGGAGGTGTGTCAGCACACGAACTAATACATGCTGCAGGAGATCGCAGATTGTGGAGAGGCATGATCGCCCACGCCAGTCGGCAAGGCACCTGATGATGATCACTTGTTTGACTTGTCAGGTGAAACTACAGCGGACACAGAAATTAGTTGCAGTAAAAGCCCAACATGCCTAAGAAGCAAAGTACTCATTTTGTATGGTTAATCGAAATCCAGTTTTAATTGAAATCCCAGAGTAACTAACAACAATTGCTTGAAAGAAGCTAATGAAAGTAGATATCTATATACAACAATAAGAAAGTGACAAACACTGTTCTTTGGCCACATAATGAGAAGAGAGACATTGGAGGACATCGTGACAACTGAAAAGATCAGTGGAAAAAGAGGTAAAAGTAGACAAAGAGAGATGATGCTGAATGGGCTAAACGATTTTATGGAGGCATATCATCAAGAGAAAGCTGTTCCAGGCAACCAGGGATTGTGATCTGTGGAGATGCATGAGCGCCTACGCCATTTGGCAGGGCACATGATGATGATGAATCAAAATCCCAGGTCATTTAATACTCCAGTGCAGGCTCCAGAGCCCCATTTTTGGAAGAGGAGAAAAGACACCCCGCAAGCAAGCATGTCGTTAAAGATAACTAATTAGGGGTGTTTCCTTCAAGTCAGAGTGCATTTGCTAGATAGGCGAGAAACCAACAGTTTGCACACAGATAAGCCAGATGTCTACAACATGTGCATGCAAAACTCAGTGTTTCTGGAACACGACCAAAGTACAGTAGTTTGTGAACAGTTGGGACTTTTCGCTGGATTTTATATCCAGAAAATACTTAAAACATCATTTAGTATAGCATATGCGATTATAACAGTGATATGCACAGAATATAATACTTATTACTGTTAGAATTACAAGACACCTTGCCTTAAGTCAATCAGGAAGTGGTGAGACTTGGAAGGGTTTGCAAGGGACACAATGAGACTGATGAACTGATACTAAACTGAAGTTATATGCCATCACACCCGTGCAACACATGTACAAGTAAATGACCTATTTCCCGCCTTCAGATGCATTAGGCATATAGTGCAAGATCTATCATTTATAGACCTTTTGGCACTCGGTGAGTGATCTGGTCAACATCAAGCTAACCACCTTTAAAGTTAGGTTCTGTTTAGATTTGAACCAATGACCTTCAGATCTGCAGGTGAACATCTAGTTGCAGCACCACATCGGCTCCCACAAACACATATGATCAAACGTTTTTGTTTTTTCAAGTGTTAAGAAAGAGAAGATCTGAGCATATGGACTGTCTGGCTTGCAATGAAAATAATCAGTTTTAATAAATTTCATTATAGATAATAAGTTTGACAAATTTTCTTCTTTTTTAGGACATAGCAGGATCTTTTTTTTTTTTATATTTCAGGCTAAACGGAAAGATTCTTGTTTTTTAATTTCAGACATAACGGGAATATCCTGCTGGACTCAAAGGGCCACATAATTCACATCGACTTTGGCTTCATCCTTTCCATCTCTCCTGGAAAAAATCTGGGCTTTGAGAACTCCCCTTTCAAGTTGACCCATGAGTTTGTTGAGGTATTGTGCTGAATGTATCATGTATTCTGTTGAACATCATCATAAAACACTTCTGCCATTAAGCCTCGTGGGGAGGAATAATTTGCGATCCAGTGCATGCTGACTGCCACTGGCTATCACAATGCCGTGAAGACGTAGAGTGTAATGTTGTCAGTCCATATTTTGTGGCCGTCCTCTTGCTCTTGCAGCTGATTTTCTGAGATGTAGTGCTCGTGATGGTGTTTGCTATTGCTGGATTCTACCGAGATGGCCAAACCACTTGATCTGCTGTTTCTCAATGAATCTAGTACAAGGTGTCGTTCCCACAGATTGTCTGATAGTATCATTATTCACTCAATCTTGGATGGTTGGGTTCCCTGCTTTTCTCAAGCATCTAATCTCGCAGGTTAAATATAGTGTGCTTTAACTGATCACACCTCCCCCCCCCCCCCCCCCCCAGAAGGTTGAAACCCAGCATTTCCATCATTGACTCATTCCTGTAAATCATCAGAGCTGTTCAACTGGCGGGCCACATCCGGCCCTAGGAGGCCTAGCAAGTGGCCTGTGGATCATTGCCCGTTGTATAATATTCATGATTTTTCTATGCTAGGGCTTGAGTCTCTGGCCCATGACAGTGTTTAGAAGGCCTTGATATGAAAATGTTTACTAAAAAAAAGTAGCGGGAATGGGGGTGGATGGATATTAGTTCGAATAAAATGGCTTTAGGATGATTAGAATTCCAACAGCGTCAGGGTAGAGTTACCCCATAGGTTGTGTGTGTTTTAGGCCCTGAGAAATGTTTTTCATTTAATGCTTTACTTTGTCCATGTTTGTTTATTACTCCTTAAATATAAAGACATTTGTTCTTCTATATAGACATATACAATTTTTAGAATATGCATTAGTGTTCTGTGTCAAATTATTTTTTTAAAAGGATTTTTCTCAGGAATTCTCACAGCCTCCTGCTTTTTATTTCAAATGTTTCTGGGTTGAAAAGATGATACTACCAAACCGTATATAATTATCACACCTGATACATAATATATTTCTAATGGCGCTCTGCTACAGGTGGCAGCTGAAGGTATCATCAAAACCTCTATATGTTATGTAGGTGATATATGACTGCTTGTCCACCATACATTCTTTACCCTTTCACCCAGTTGACCTAGAAAAAAATGAAGCTAAGCTCCTGTAATTTCTATTGTTTCTGACATTCCTGGGGAAAAAATGCTGTGCAGAGTAAGGGCTGTAAGTGGAGTAAAGACCTTTTCCCACACCTTCAGGTGTGTTGGGCATAAAGGGCTAGACCTATATTTTAAAGACCAATCGACACTGGGTGGGTGATGTGGTCAGCATCATGCCGGCCATCTTTACTTCCCAGCACTGCATCTGGTACCCACTCAAAGCTAGGTCAACTTGGGAGCCAAAAAGTCATTTTTTTCCCCATCAAGAACCGAACCCATGACCTTCTGACCTGCAGGTGAGCATTTAGCTGCTACTCCAAGGCGACTCCGAGTTATCGCTAAAAAGGAATACAGCATAGAATCCACTGGCTTTCATCTCTTGGGAGACTGTAAACTAATTATAGCGTGACACTTACTTGATCCTCTGACCTGGTAGCCAGTGGATTATATTGAAGTATCTGTAAATAAAGCCATCATTCTTCTCCCAGTGCTAATATTAATAAATTTAGCCATCTCCTCGGCATCTGTGGCTTAGGCGTTGCGAACGAGCTTCATAATGCCACGGTGCCAGGTTCGATCCCAGCTGCGGGCCTTGCCCTTGCGTTGGTTGTGACAGTGGTATCGGAAGCCGACTGTCCAGAAAGCAATGGCAAACTACTGGACGTAAATTTGCCTAGAAAAACCACAACAACCAACAAATGCTGGGGTTGGTTCTGCAATGTGTTGTAAAGGATACCCAGCTGACTAAGCCACTTCCTCTCACGCTGAACGTTTATGCAGATGCAGTGTTATGTTTTATTAACTAGACTTCTTGTAAACATGTCTGGGTAGCAAGTCAGGAAAGCAGCTTTTACAGGGAAATAATGCCAGCTGGAAATGCCTCTCGGGGTAAAAGGGTTAAGGATTGTGTGTATCCCTGTATTAATTATTTAGGTGGTAAGTGTGTTCCCCCTCCCTTTATTTGTGATATAGGTGATAAATAATTACAAGTTCACACAGACCTAAAATGATTGTGTGTATCCATCTATCCGTGGTGCAGGTAATGGGTGGACTTGGAAGTGACATGTTCGAGTATTTCAAGATTCTGATGCTGCAGGGTTTCGTGGCCTCTCGCAAGCACATGGACAAGATTCTGCCACTTGTCGAGATCATGCAGACAGGTAATCTTGGGCTTGTTTAGAGCTCTTTTTGAGTATCTTCTGCCACTTACTGTCTTTATTCTGTCACTTTTGCAGCGTATGCGGGGTCTTTGAACCTGAGTATCTACGGCCACATGGCTAGTACTGTGGCCACGACTATGCAGGTGATGATTTTATTTTGCCCCCGGCAGAAAAACAATCCCCAGCCTTACCGAGGATTTGAACACGGGTCTCCCGCTTGAGAACCGTTTGGCTAGCCGCTCCTTTAATCTTCACAGTCATAATACATTGGCAGGACTTTTTTATCTGACCAGTTCCAACTTATATCTGACCCAAGCTCTCAAAGTTGGTAAGCATACTATATTCTTCTGCCATTTATTTCCCGAGGGAGCATAGATCTGCAACCAGCCTACGCCAGCATTCTTTGCTGTTGCATGTAGCTCATCCCTTGCCATCTGTCTTTTTTTCTTCACTCTCTGGCTCCTGTCTGCATGTTTTTTTTTTGGTCTGCCTTTATTTCTTCACCCGGTAGGTTCCAGTGCAAAAAATTTAGTTATACTACTGACAATTTGTTTAGTTCTCTCTGAAAGCTCAGTGTTAGTGATTCTGCCGTACCATTCACTTCCCTCTAATCTGCACAAGAACCGATTAAAGAATGTTTGTAGTTTATTACTAATTGTTTTAGATGTTCTCCATGTTTCTGCCAAGAGCTCTTTAAAGCTTTCATAAATTATCTGGAAACAAATGGGCCTGGTAAATTGCTGGCACAGAATCAGTGTATCATTCAAAACACAGATAATTGTTATGCAGAGTAATGGTTGTAAATAAAGTACACTTATAGGGGTACTGGGCATATAGAGCTAGACCTGCAGATCAGAAGGTTGTGCGTTCGGGTCTTGACGGAGCCAGACTTGTAAAAAATGACTTTTTGGCTCCCAAGTCAACCCAGCCTTGAGAGGGTAGCAGGTGCAGTACTGAGAAGTAAAGGTGGCTGGCGAGGTGCTGACCAGGAGCAGGACAGTAATGCACTGCCAGCCAGTACTAGGTTTTGACAGTGACCGAATAAGAGAAAAGAAAAATTACAACTGAAATAAGATTCTTGAGAAGAGCATTCACCATACTGAGAGATCATAAATTATGCCACTGTGTAAGGGGCGGGGGTCACAACCCTAGCTGTAGAGTTTATGGAGTACCAGGAAACACATTAGGATTTCATCAAGGTTAGACTACACAGCACGAAGAGAACTGATTGCCCTCATCAGAAGGAAGCAAACAGATGAGGAACTCTTGAGGCTGTAATAAACACACACATATATATATACACATATATATACACACATATATATATACACATACACACACACACATATACAAACACATATTTTTACATATATATATATTTAAATATATACATATTTACACACACACACACACATATATATTAGGGCTGTACCGAATACGAATAGCTGGACCAACTATTCGGCCGAATACGAATAGTGAATCATCATCATCATGTGCTTTGCCGGCTGGCATGGGCGATTATGCCTCGCCACAATCTGCGATCTCCTGCAGCACGTATTAGTTCGCGTGCTGACACACCTCCATGAAAAACCTTCGTTCCATGTTGTCAGCATTAGGCCAGCTTTTTGTCTCACTGAAGGTATTTCCAGCTGTACTAAACAGGAAAATACAACAAATACAGAGAGTCAAAATGAAAACCCGTAAGGCGAAACATCAAAAACAAAAATAATGCCGACGAAGAAAACAAGTCGCCCAGCTCCCCGCGAGCTCACGAAACCAGACGCCGGGCGGCTAACGCCAGAAGATCAAACAACAAAGACAATCAAGAAACCAAACGTCGATCAAAACATTCAGCCGCTGCCGTTTCCACGAGACGACAAAAGAACAGATACGACACCCATAAATGATGACGAACTCCCGTTACTTCAAAGAATCAACGAAGAGGACACTCCACTCAAAGAAATCAAGCCGACAACACTAGAACACTTGCTTTTCTGCCCCTCTTACATTTTTAAGTGTTGCATTTTGTTTCAACAGCAACACAAATAAAAACACTATACTCGCAACACATGCAAGATGGAAATAAAGGGGCACTTGGTACGCTCGTAGGTGGTGCACAAAGATAACGCTTCACAGTATAAACCAAGGTGGGAAGTCTTGATGTTTTTTTTTCCACCAGTCCAGAAACGGTTGTGAGGTAACCACTATTCGTATTCGGCCCGACAACAACTATTCGGCCGTATACCGAATAGTTATTGGGTCCACTATTCGGCCCCGAAGCGAATACGAAGCGAATATTCGGTACAGCCCTAATATATATATATATATATATATATATATATATATATATATATATATATATACGTATACACACACACACACACACATAAATACATAAATATATATATATGTGTGTGTGTATGTGTGTGTGTGTATTAGGGCTGTACCGAATATTCGCTTCGGGGCGGAATAGTGGACCTAATAACTATTTGGTATTTGGCCGAATAGTTGCGGTCGGGCCAAATACGAATAGTGGTTACCTTACTCCCGTTTCTGCACTATGATGGACTGAAATAACTCTCTCATTAACACAATAGTTGCTGTTGCCCAAGTCATTCGTAGCGGGGGAAACTGCGACCCGGTTGCGTGGTACAAACTACATAAAATACCGCAGTGTGTGTGAGTGTGTGTCTGTATGTGTGTGAGAGAGAGGGAGATCATGAATTTTTCATTCTTTCAGGGTGTCTTCGCCCAAATCAAATTTGAAGATATTTCTAACGAGAATATGAAGGTGCGTTTAAATTACATCGAACGAACGGCCGAGCCAACGATGGTTTTGAAAGAGGTGGGAGCCCGAAGACAACTAATCACTGACATCAGAAGGAGACAGTCGTCATTTTTCAGCCATGTAATGAGAAGAAGAAAAATGGAACATGTGGTGACCACTGGAAAGATCTGTGGAAGGAGGGATAGAAGAAGACAACGAGAGAAGATTCTTGACTGTCTTGTTGCATGGCATGGAGGTGTGTCAGCACACGAACTGATACATGCTGCAGGAGATCGCAGATTGTGGAGAGGCATGATCGCCTACGCCAGTCGGCAAGGCTCCTGATGATGATGATACACTATTCGTATTCGTATTCGGCCGAATAGTTAGTCGGTACAGCCCTAATATATATATATATATATATTTTTGTGTGTGTGTGGATAAGTAGAAGTCTCAGGGACCTTAGAAAATGCTTCTACTTATCCAGACAGCACACACAATAGAGAAAATTGCTGGGACTAAGCTGGTCATGTCGACAACCGAAATTCGACTTATCCGAGTTGGACTTAAGTGGACTCGACTATATATACCTATTTCTATGAGTGCTGATCAATACATTGTCTGTCAATTATATGTGTTTCTACAGCCTCAAGAATTTACGATCTGTTTGTTTCTTTCTGATTCAAAACATTGTTTTTTCATTAGAATATATATATAATTATGGTCCAATGTGTTTATATTGTTGTTTATTTTTTATTTGAAAAGTGCTTCTTGCCAGTTAGTTATAACCTAAATTGCCTAATTTGATTTTGGTGTCTGCAGTCATACTTTGCCACTATCTTATATTTATTTTTACAGCTAGCAGATGAAACACCTTGATAATTTTATGTGTAATAACACTGAGCACCCATCCTTTTGCAACATAGGTTGACTCACCCAAAAGTAAATTCCTAAATTCCCCCGTGTGGGTTCCGGGGCCCCATTGTGGGGAAAGCAAGAATAGACCCACTGCCTCCCCAAAAGCATGTCGTAAGAGTCGACTAATTGGAGAGCTTCCTTTGAAGTCGGAGTGCATCTGTCGGAGAGGCAAGGAACCAACAGTCTGTATTCAAGAGAATGAGATCTGTAAAACTGATGCACATGCAACACTCAGGTTCTGAAGCAGGACTGCAGTTCAGTAGTGGACGAGTAACCAGAACTTTCCTCCAGAGTGCACAGCTGGTGAACGCGTAGAAGAAGAAGAAGAATTCCTAAATTGTTAGTTTTTAAAATGAATTCTGCCACTGAATGTGTTTTCAAGATGCCTTTATATAACCTGAACAGGTTCTCAGTTGCCCTGTTTTGGCAAAGGTGTCAGCGCAATCCGAGCCTTCAAAGACAGATTCCACATGACTTCAACCGAGGAGCAGCTGCAGCTGATTGTGGATGGCCTGGTGGAGTCCAGCCTGCACTCCCTGACAACCAAGCTTTATGATGGATTTCAGTATTACACCAATGGGATTTTGTGAGGTGTTTGTTGACTGCCAGTTGTAATACCAAGAACAGTTGTATCTTGCAAACTTTTTGGTGCATGTTTGGAGGTCTCCACGGTGAAGACTCATACTCCAAAGGTCGTGGGTTCGTTTCACAGACTCACTGTTCAGTTTTTACAAAGATTTCTTTGGTTTTCCCTGGAGCTGTAGAGCTCTTGCTTTGTGTGACACTTTTGGCAGGCTGTTAGCTTTTCTGTTGAGAGGGATCAAGCTATGTAGGGTACGATTCAGTGCAAGGAAGTCAGTCTTCTCAACTTTGACTTCTAACTTTGTGCATGTTTCTGCAAAGATGCTGTGCACTGTAATGTTTACAGTATTATTAAAGAAAGCACAATAAACAAGGATGAATGTAATTCCCAGACATTTTACAGCAACAAGGCTTTGCAAGGTTACATGCCTGACTAGCTCCTTCCTGTCATTCCTTCACAGAGGAATCTATTTTATGATGCAATGTTGAAGTCCTTAATTCAACCCAGGCACTATTTACTGAGGTGCCAGTTTTACTACTGTGATGGAAAACCAAAGGAGAAAAAAATAATCTGAGCTTATGATAATTATTCGAGAACTGTGAAGAATAATTTTCTTCTCCAAAAGCTGAGGATAGTAAGAAGGCAGTGTTATTAAAGAGGCTAAATTATGTTAACTGACATGACTGTGGCAAGAATTTGACAAATTGATTTTCATGAAGATTGTGTATTAACTTCTCTAGTCCATAACTCATGTATAAGATTTATGCACATTGGCCAGTACCAACCAACACAATTGACAACTTCATGTCCCTGGCATGTAGCGCTAGTCACCATGTCTGTTTTTTTGTTTTGTTTCGTGTACAGCTAATAATTTATGGTAAAAATGTTTCTTCCCTGCCATGATGCTCAACTGTCCAGTACCTTCTTTTGGTCTGCCTTTCTTCTTCTCATTCATTGGCTGTAAAAAATGACAGAAAGTCCCAGGGGTTCCCCCACTTGTGGACTTCAGCTTAGTTCCAGGACTTGGTGTTGCATGCACATTTCAGTTTACAGTTCTGGCTTTTTTGTATGCAGATTGTTAGTTCCTCGCCTCTCAGGCTAAATTCCATCCAATTTTGAAGGCAACATTCTTCTTCTTCTTCAGAAGAAGTCAACATTGATCACCATGTGACTAAACAATACCATTTGCCTATCATCAGGCATCTTGCTGACTGGCAGAGGTGATCATGCCTCTGCACAACTTGTGATCTTCAACAGCTGGTATCAGTTCGTTTTCAGATTGCCTACCATGCCACAATAAAAGGCTGTCAAGGATCTTCTCACAATGACTTCCTCTCTTTCCTTTCCACAAATCTCCCCCATCGTCACATGTTCACTTCTTCTCATAACCTGACAGAAAATGTTGTCTCTATTATTTGTGATAAGTTCATGATATGGTTCGTTTAATGTTTTCATTAGCTTTTTCTAGGCAATCGTTAGTAATATTGAGGCATGGCTATTCAACTGGTGGCCTGCGGATCATTGCCAGCTGTATTGTATTAATGATCTTTCTATGCCGGGACTCAAGCCTCTGGCCTGTGACGTGACGATCCCCATTTTCAAATCTTCTAGTAAACTTAGTTAAATAGCTCTGGTCTAAGGTAAACATACTTGTCTCACCGATTTTGCCATGGAAATTCCTTTTCGCGTTTTAAGACAGTGAAGTGTAAATACATGGTCTCCCAAGTTTCCATGCATAGGAAAAAAACGTTTTTTCTTTAAAAAATGAAAATCAATTTGATTGATATATGCTCTACATGACTGTTCTGTTTGGAGCCGCTGTGGTGTAGCAGGTAGAGACCCACCTGCGGATTGGAAAGTTGTGGGTTCGGATCCTGGTGGAGCCGGACTTTTTTTTCTTTCAAAAATGACCTTTGCTCTCAGGTTGACTTAGCTTCGAGTCGGTACCAGATTCAGTCCTGAAGAGTAAAGGCAGCCGATGTGGTGCTGACTACATCACCCACCAGGTGCCGGTTGGTCTATAAAATATAGGTCTAGCCCTTTATGCCCAAAGGCGTGGAAAGAGTTCTTTCTGTACTTCATAACTCATTGTTATCTTCCACTGCTGAATTACCTGTATAAGCACACTGGAGTTTTGCATTTGTGATATTTTATGTTTCCTATATGGGAAAACTTTTGTAGGTTTTGACCAGAATGAGTCTTAGTCCTAGTGCACATCACCTTGAGTGGTTCAACACCACCTCCTCCTTTCAGCCATCCCAGCATACTCCAGCACCTTGAGTGGTTCAACACCACCTCCTCCTTTCAGCCATCCCAGCATACTCCAGCACCTTGAGTGGTTCAACACCACCTCCTCCTTTCAGCCATCCCAGCATACTCCAGCACCTTGAGTGGTTCAACACCACCTCCTCCTTTCAGCCATCCCAGCATACTCCAGCACCTTGAGTGGTTCAACACCACCTCCTCCTTTCAGCCATCCCAGCATACTCCAGCACCTTGAGTGGTTCAACACCACCTCCTCCTTTCAGCCATCCCAGCATACTCCAGCACCTTGAGTGGTTCAACACCACCTCCTCCTTTCAGCCACCCCAGCATACTCCAGCACCTTGAGTGGTTCAACACCACCTCCTCCTTTCAGCCATCCCAGCATACTCCAGCACCTTCTCTTGGCGAGCCCCAGCTGTGGTCTTCCGATACAGAGTTACTCTTTGAGCTAATTCAAGGCTGTCGTTTTGTTGTATCCTTGTTTGGTGACATCACATCTCTGAAGCTTCCAGATATTTTCTCAATAAATAAAAATAGCGATTATCCAGGATTCACTTACTTTCATCTGTATTATAAAAACTGTCTTTTCTCACCCCATTTGACAAAGATATATTGCATCAGATTTGTATCTGCCTGTGAAATGTTGCTTTTGCTTCAAATATTTCACATTTATGTACGACAGATCTGACATCAGGACACCCAGCCAAATACAGTCTTTCTAGACCAGTCGCATTTATTTGTGATTATGCAGTCTGAAATTTGTTGTTGCTGATTACTAATGGACGGTTCAGAAGCAAATCGACCTGGGTGCGATCTAAACAGCACACAGGAAAAGAACCTAAAAATATATTTTGAACAGAACAAGCACAGAAGACTGCATAAGTAAAAGGACCATTTTCCACGCCTTTACGCATATAGGGGTTGTGCATACCTAGGAGATAAAATAATTGTTGACTTGGAAGACTGGTGTGAGCCACATCATTTATATAGAAGCCACCATCGTTGCAAATAGTTGGCATAAATATTCTAGCCTCACTTGTAAAGTTGCAAATGAACAGCACAAAAGTGAAAGGTTATTACATGAGGACCCCATGTGATGGATTCCAGGACCCCATTGTGGGGATAAACAAGACTCACTGCCCTCCTAATCAACTTGTCGTAAAAGCCACCAATTAAGTTTCTTTTAAGTGCATCTGCATGAGAGATGAGGAATCAACAGTCTGCATACAAATAAACCACATCTGTAAAACAGATTTGCATGCCAAAACTCAAGTTTTGGAACAAAACTTAAGTCCAGAAGTGGAGGCAACCAGAACTTTCTGCCGCAGTTTACAGCCAGTGAACGCAAAGGAGGAGAAAGACTAGATAAGAAATGACTAGTTGGGAATCAGAACTAGGTTAAAATTGTGTATGTTTAAGGCCAGTTGAGCCCTGGACATAAATGAAGTGGGACAGGTGCATAGGCTTATCAACCACCCAGACCAATACCAACCCCAAGGGTTGACAGCCTTACACCTGCTGTTTCTTCCTTACATGCTCAGATGAGCAAAACTGTATCCAGTTTGCTTATTGGAGCACTGATTTGTTTTGGATGTACAGTGGAACTCCAATATTCGTCCAGGACGACTATGAATATTAAACTTACTTTTTGCCATAGAAATGAACTAAAAATGGTTTAATCAGTTCACAGCCTCCAATTTTGCCTATTTCTGTAATAAAATTTCACTTGAAAAATCTATTTTTGAAATCATCGCAAATACATTTTATTTTTATTAACCATTTTATTTATGATTGCTTTATCATTGTTACTCATCCTGACAATGTAAAGATACTATAGGATAGGTCTACATAAATACATTTTTGAAAAGAAATTAACCCTATGGATAAAAAAAAAATTTGATTGAAAGAAGCCACCTCCCATTAGTTAATATCACTTCTGGTGATTGGTGTCCTGATGACTAATCAGTATTTAAAGACGATTCAGCAGCTTTCTTTATTATTGTTATTTTTTCAAATGCTAGTCTACTGGCAAGACATTGCCCTGACTCCTTGGATAGACTAAGCTAAGTGCTTTTATGTGGTATTGTTTATGTATGTGCTGATGAAGGCTCCTTAGTCTATTGTTTACGTTCTGTTTGTTATATTGTGAAGCTTGCTGATATACTTTTCGTTCGGTTTAATATCTTTTCTTGAGATTTTGTAAAATGTCCTGAAAGTATCCAAGCACGTCATGAAATAATTGATACACTGATCAACTATCACGATTTTTCAAAGAAAACCTGCATGTTTGCCCAAGTGGACAGCCTCCTTAATTTCTGCACTTGAAACCGGCCCATTATCTTCCCTTTTCTTGTCTGATGACTCGCTGACCACATCAAAGAAAGGATGAATACTGACTTTTTGTGTCAATGAAAAACGGGACAAATTTTTAAAAAGTACATACTGGCAAAGGGGAATATTGGAGTTTCACTGTGTATTGTGCTCTTTCAGACCAACTTTAGGTATTTATTATGCCAGCTAGCCTTCCAGGTTCATTACACAGCCTCCCCTAGTGTGCCTATCCTAAATGAAAATGTTGCCTGCATGCTGGTCTACCCCCAGTGGAGGGCAGGAAAAGAATATGGGCTATTCCCATTATCCAAGAGTTCCACAGATGCAGAACCTACTATACATGGTGCTCACTCAAGGATTGAACACATGTATCGTTATGCAGGATATACCATAAGTTCCCATGGTAAGTTGTGTATCCTTTACAGGACGTTGCAGAACCAACCCCAGTAGCCCCTGGCCGTTGTGTGGTTTGTTTTTCTAGGCAAATTTACGTCCGGTAGTTTGCCATTGCTTGCGTGATGGTCGGCCCCCTGGTACCACTGTCAAAACCAACCCAAAGCGCATGGCCCACAGCTGGGATCGAACCCGGCATTACGAAGCGTTCGCATTGACTTAGCCACAGAGCCGACATAAGTTCCCATACAGAGGAAAGATTAACATCACACCAAAGCCAGTTCAAGCGTCCTCCTGCTGTGCTTATACATATTCTTCAGGAGAAGTGTTCACATCAAAAAAAAATTATTTTAAAGAATGGTAGTGGTGTAAAGCTTTAATAATTTAAACAATGGTTTTCATATTTGAAAATCCCAGTGTGGGTTTTGAGGCAGTGAGGAAAAGAAAACTCACTGCCTCCCCAACAAGCATGTCATTGGAGTCTAATTGGGGACCAAGTACATCTGCTTGAGAGGTAAGGAACCACAAGTCTACATACAAACAAAAAACCAGATCTGTGAAACGGATGAGTATGCATCACTCAGGTTCTGGAAGTAGACTAAATTCTGAAGGTGGACAAACACCCAGAGCTCTCAACTGGAGTTTACAGCCAGTGAACATGATAATTTTTTTTATGTGGAAACTGTTGGGAGACACCTTGTACAATAATTATGGCTCAACTTGTCAAAATGCATATTATGTCAGTATCCCATGACTACTGCTAGTGTGCTTTTTGTTCAGACCAAGGGTTTTTAAAGCTTCTTTAGACATTTAATCATTTGACTAGAGGCATCCCTGTTACAAGCTATCAAACATCTCACTGTTATTTAAGTCTCAAGAATCACTGTGCTTGTCATGATTATTGCGATGTAAAGAATCAAAGTGCTTATATATTTTTTCAAAAGAGGACATGGTTTAATGTGGTAGTATGTGTGCTTGCGTAAGTGAATGGTCATTATACACGGTGCTGCATTAAAGTTTATATCACATTCAAGTGTTTGTTTTGATAAATAATCTTGTGTACAAATAAAATCAGCCTCATGTGTTCTAGGTCTAACTACTGCTCCGAGTTAGATCTATAGCTACCTATCAGATTTTATATTAGCCAGACAAGTTGAAACCTTGTGGTGGCACAGTGATTTCGTTCAGGCGCTTGGGAAAGTTTGGATCATTGTGATATGTATAAGGAGATACTCTGTGTCTTGCCTCACCTCGAGCACCAGCAGGCTCTGCTGGTCTTACAGGACTCCTGCCACACGTCCTCCTCATGTACTATGGATAATGATCTAAACTGAACCAGGAGCCCCTAGTGATTATGTGCATGGAAAAACTTTGAGCACAAATGAAGGCTCCTTTAAAAGTACCCTACTAAATGTTGAACTCACGTTCAGATGCTTGTCTTTCTATGACAGCAAGGGTTTAGAAGTTCTTTGTTCAAAGAACCCTAACAAATGGTTTAAACGTCCACTACCATAGACTACACAGGGGAGCCATGCCCGATGTATGCTTCCCATAAATGCCACAAAAAGAGGGCATCCAGGTGGAAGGTGCTAGAGTCAAAGACAGAAGTCTAGTCTCAAACATGCTAAGTGAGACACCCATTTGTATAGGGAATCAAAGGCGCCGGTCTAGACTGCTCCCTGAGGATCCCGGGACCCAGCGCATAGTGAGTGGTAGGCACAGTATACTGATGTGAGGACAGGGTGGCATGTATATTGGCTCTACATAGCAGCCTTCCCTTGGGGGTCAACCAAGCTGCGCTTGCGGCTACCCCGGAGCACCAACATAACCAGATTGGATCATATGGGTCTGCCGAAAAGAGCATATGTGCTGTAAATAGGCATCTATGTCACCCAGAAGAAGAATATCTTTTTAGCTTTGAAACTCGACATATGCCTATTTAAGGTATTCGCGAATCAACATTTCTTGCTGCCCAAAGAGTCAGGCTGATCTGATGTTTACACATAATCCAACCTCTCACTCATAAGGAAATAAAATAAACTCTTCAAAACACTTTTTAAACAGGATTTATTACTAAATTAAAAAAGCTGCTGTCGTCTGTACATGAAGATCAGTCAAACAGTCCTGAGGAGAGACAATGGTAAATAATGAGTACACAGAACTGTTCAACACTGAGGCAACAAAAAATGACTAGAGAATCACACGTTTTAAAACAACAGAAATATTGAGAAACTGACTTCCATCGCCTATTACAGGTAATACTGGTCTGACAACCTTTAGCATGTCTGTACTTTCAATCACTGGAGATATTTTGTACACAATTATTTCACTCAATGCTATAACTTTCACCCCCTGGCGGAGCCAGACTTTTCAAAATAACCTTGGCTCCCGGGTCAACCCAGCCTTGAGTGGGTACCAGGTGCAGCCCCGAGAAGTAAAGGTGGCCGGCTTGATGCTGACCAAATCACCCATCTTGTGCTGGTTGGTCTATAAAATATAGGTCTAGCCCTATATGCCTAAAGGTGTGGAAAAGGGTCCTTTACTTTTTTTCTTTGGAATGGCTACTCATCAGATGTCAACACTTGTACTGTCACCACCACCCTAAACTCTACTTCCGTGCTAAATTCTTGCAGAATACCACATCAAATACTGGTTGTGCTCCCGTTATTTCTCCCCTATGGGTTCCGGAGCCTGACTGCCCCTCTAACAAGCATTTCACAAGAGGTGCCTAATTAAGGCTGTTTCCTTAAGTCAGAGAAGTGAGAAACCAACAGTCTGCATAAACACAAGCCAGATCTGTAAAATGAATGTGTAAGCTGGAAAAAAAAACATTAGTTACAAGATCAAAATCAGGAAGGGGACAACCAGAACTTTCTGCCTGAGTTAACCAGTGAACATGAAGAAGTGTTTATGTTATCACAGTTTGATGCCAACATGCCCTAAAATTTGCAACAAGCAGCTCACGTCTGCTGGTGTTTGCTCCTTAGTTTTTGTTTTTTAAATATGTTTTCCATCTTTGTTGTGAACACCACTGCAGTACTGACAGGTTCAATGATGTCAAATTTACTAATCTTCTTCTTCTGCTTTCATCTAAAGATGTAACTGCGTTATGTCCCTTCACAGCATAGCTGCAATATTTGCGCCTTTGTAACCCACAATGAAAGGCCTGAGAACAGACCAGTACTAGGTTAAACAACAATGCCAAGAGTGATGAATTCCATAAGAATAGCCTTACAAAAATGTCAACATACTTAACGGTAGGTAGCCTTGAGACAATTGTGAAACTAATGATTGTCTTACCAAAGCCCATGTCCTCATCCGACTCCTCCGACTCTTCCTTCTTCTCTTCTTTCTTTGCTTCAGCTGAAAAAAAATTGTGAATATTTGTATTTTACATGATTTTTGCAGCACTCCAGAAAAACTTATAAATCTAAACTATTGCCTAGCAAATCTAAGGTGCAGATTGGGGGTATTCAGCAAGGTTATTTAGGGACCAAAATGTTGAAAATAGGAATCGTCATGGGCATGAGCACAAGCATAGAAAGATTATTAACAATACAACTGGCAATCATACACAGGCCACTTGCTGCTCATCGTTACAGTAACACTGGTTGTAAACCACTTGCTGCTCATCGTTTCAGTAACACTGGTTGTAAACAATTTACATCCCCTAATTTTTTTTTAGAGGCAATATCATTTACTATATGTCTCATAAATATGTCCTGTATGCAAGTCGAAAAAGTGACATTTACAAGGAACCAGACCCAAATTGAAGTGTTGGTATTTCAGCTACTCTAGACGACAGAGTTAGTGTTCTAATGGCCCCTGCTTTCGTTTTCATGACGAAACATCAAGAAAGGGAAGATAAAGATGAAGCTAGCCATCTGTAGGGAGCCGACGTGGTGTAGCAGTTGGACACTCGCCTGCAGATCGGAAGATGTGGGTTTCAGGTCCTGACTTCGCCGGACTGTTTTTAAAAATGACCTTGACCTCCAGGTTGACCCAGCCTTGAGTGGGTACCAGATTAGTCCTGGGAAGTCAAGGCGGCCGGCGAGATATTGACCACATCACTCGCAGAGTGCCCTTTGGTCTATAAAATACAGATCTAGCCCTATATGCCCAACACACCTGAAGGTGTGGAAAAGGGTTCTTTAGCCAACTCTAGTAATGTTTTGCCATCTCACACAATCACCAGAGTCAGCTCTCTTGTCTCATTCCCATCCAAATAATGATCTCTTCTGCTGTCACTCTGCTCTTTTCCCACCCATTAATCTTGCTGCCAGTTGTCACCAAAGTCCATTCCCTGCCACAACCTTTTCAAAATTTACTGCCTGTGGCCTGCATGACTCCTCCTAATGGGCAAGGCTATTTTTAGAACACACCCACTCATGTTTTATCTAGTTGTGTAAATGCTGAAATCATAGCTATTCTTAGCATCTTGCAGAAGTTTGTCACAGCTTTCCTTTATTGTAGTAAACAAACTGGTCAGGTTACCAAAACATGTGTCACTTTAATTTGATCTTCTGCATATCATCCAGGAACCTACGACCACGACCAACACTTACCTGTCAGCTGCTCTTATGCTCAGTCCACCACTTGCTTCCATGGTTTCACATCACCGACCACGACCACCAACAATTACCTGTCGGCTGCTCTTACGCTCAGTCCACCACTTGCTTCCATGGTTTCACATCACCGACCATGACCACCAACAATTATCTGTCGGCTGCTCTTACGCTCAGTCCACCACTTGCTTCCATGGTTTTACATCACCGACCACGACCACCAACAATTATCTGTCGGCTGCTCTTACGCTCAGTCCACCACTTGCTTCCATGGTTTCACATCACTGACAGCGGGGCTAAACAGGAACTCTACCTTGCCTAAAGGTGTCCCGTAGACTAGCAAAGGGAGAGAGGCAGCTTATTTCTGGTTTTTAGTTGAGAAAATGTATTTGATCTCTGGGCTGCAGTTGATAGAAAATTAATAATATTTGGTGAGTGGACCTGTGTGTATACTAACTGCCACTTCCAATATTGGTCTGATACTGGAAACAGGTTACAGCATCGCTGTATAATCTTAGCATCGCTGTATAATCTCAGCATCGCTGTATAATCTCTTCTTCTGCCTTTCTAGCCCCGACAATGAAGCAAAGGACCTCAGCCAACTCCGACCAAGTCGTTATATCTTTTGCTATTGCATGCAGCTCTCCTCATCCTTTTAACTTCATTCTCCAGCTCCCTTCTTCATGTTTTTTTTTGGGCCTTCCTTTATTCCTATGCCCCTGGGGGTTCCAGTGCAAAGACATTCTTGTTAATCACTGTATAATGAGCTAAAGTAAAATATAGCCAGGCTGACAAACATAGCACTGACTAATGGTGAACTGACCAATGGTCAACACATGCAAAGAATTACAAGTTATACCTGCAGCAGGTTTGGCATCTCCACCACCTGCAGCAGGGGCCACAGCAGCAGGAGCTACGCCAGACACAGCAACTGGTCCGGCCCCAGCACCACTGCCCACGTTGCTGATCAACTCTTTTACGTTTAGGCCGTCCAAAGCCTTGGCAAACAAACCTGTCAGAGTAAAATAAATGAACATATGAAGACATGACATTCTACATGATCTAGGCATAGAGGAGAACTGGCTGACAAACAGCATCCTGCTCCAAAAAGCTGAGATATTCTGGTTATGTTAAACATCCCTGTGGCCTGGAGAACAGATCAGTGATGGAAGCTAGTTCCTAGAAACTTCTAAACCTCGTGTTCACCAGCTGAAAACTCTGGCGGAGAGCTCCGGTTGTTCATCCACTTCTAGACTGCAGTCCTGTTCCAGAACCTGAGTGTTCTGTGTGCATCTGTTTTACAGATCTGACTCATTTGTATACAGACTGCTCGTTCCTTACCTCTCAGGCAGATGCACTCTGACTTCGAAGGAAGCTCCCAATTAGTCAACTCTTATGATATGCTTTTGGGTAGGCAGTGGGTCTATTTTTGTTGTCCCTATAACAGGGCCACAGAACCCACACGGGGAGTTTATAGAAACGTAAGCAGAGATAGACCTCAGCAAAATGGATACAAGGCAGTAAAGATGCACTGGCGAAAAAAGCATGTAGTCCCTGCGTGAATATCAGGGCCCCATTGTGAGGAAAACAAGAAAATTGTTTACATACTATGCTAGGTGTAACGAGGCAAGATCGATTTAGGAACGATTTCAGGAGAAGAGTCAGCACAGAACCAATACTGAACTTTACAGATAGATAACAAATCAAATGATTTGGCCATGTAACAAGATCGGCAGCAAACAGGGCACCACAGAGAGCAATGCTATACAGATACAACTGTAATAGAGCCAGAGGTCGACCACAGAGAATATGGACCGCCAAAATATCAGAGACACTGAAAAGTAGAATATATGAGGCGAAAAGAAGGGCCCATTTCCAGAGATCTCTTCCTGCCCTGATGCAGCGAGATATTCCACAAGTAGAGAAAAGAAGAAGAAAGATGCTTTACTATACTGGAATAAGTAAAATAATACAAGTGGAATTTTTTAATAGTAAACAATGTCTTCAGAAGGCTTCTTAGCGTTCAATGGCTATAAACTCAAGCATAAGGTTCTGGTTGTTCATCCACTTCTGAACTTTGGTCTTCTTCTAGAACTTGAGTGTTTGGTGCTCACATCCATTTTACAGATCTGGCTTATTTGTATGCAGATTTGGTTCCTAACATACTTGTTGGAAAATGGGGGAGGGACAGCAGTGGGTCCTCCCCCCCCCCCCCCCAATCCAGGGATTTAAAAGTCAAAAAATGAAAATACCTGGCCAGTAAGGCTCAACAGATACATTGGCTGCCTTGAGAAGTGTTGAAATCTTGTCACCCTGTGGAAGAAAAGTGCAAACTACTGTAAACAGTGCTGAACCAAATCATCATGGGCTTCCCCTTGAAAAGCTTCCCTAGACTTGGGTGTAGATATCTGCATTCACCGTTCACATACTGGCATTTAATGGTTGTAGTAGACAGGCGCAACCAAGAGGTTTTAAAAGAGGCGGGAGCCCGAAGACAACTTATCACTGACATCAGAAGGAGACAGTCATCATTTTTCGGCCATGTTATGAGAAGAGGGAAAATAGAACATGTTGTGACCACTGGAAAGATCTGTGGAAGGAGGGAGACAACGAGTCTTGTTGCATGGCATGGAGGTGTGTCGGCACACGAACTGATACATGCTGCAGGAGATCGCGGATTATGGAGAGGCATGATCGCCCACGCGTCGGCAAGGCACCTGATGATGATGAGTAGACAGGCAGAGTGCCAATACTCAAATGAGAGATGAAAGACAGAAGAAAGTTTTAAAAAAAAAGGTATGAAAGTACAAAATACCGAGAGATGAAAGATAAATTTTTTTTTTTTAATGAAACATAAACCTGCCTGTAGTTGCCAGGGGCACAGACACAGAAAATTGGTAGTGGGGAAGAAATTCCCCCCCCCCCCCATTATAAATTTTCTAGGGAAAGGAGGGCACAAGAGGGACTTGTTTCCATGATAATATTTATTATTAAGTGCTGAAATATTTTATGAAATAATATGAAATGTATTAACAAATATATGAAACTGAACTTTTATACTTGCAGCTAACAAACTTGACCAAATGCAACAAACTAGCAATACCTATTATTGCAGCCTAGGTTCCACGATTGCATGTAGCCTATATTTTATGCATACAGTTGTGCGACCTAGGCTGCATGCAGTTGTGGGACGTAGGCTGAGGATGTACGGTAAGGGAATTAGGGCCAGTTCTAGATGTTTTGGGGTCGTTTAGAGCGCTCACATTGTGGAATATAGAACAGGCGACATTGCCGGCCGAGTAAAATATGAGGTGTTGCTGGCTGCTCACTAAGCGTGACAGCCATCAAAACTAGCCACTGCAGCGTCAGAGTCCTCAAGTCTCTTGAGAATCTCTTTATTTTTACCTAGGGTATACAAACCCCTAGGGAACTGAACTGTCAACAGTTTCATCTAAAATCCTAGAGTTTCAGCCCTTGGACTTCTCAGATTATTTATTCTTTTCATTCCATTGACAACGTGGTTGCATCAGGATGTAAGTTAAGTGAGTTTTGTGTATTCGTGTGTTTTGTTTGTTTTTATGCAGATGAAGACTCTGAAGCCGCAACGTTCTTTTTCTGTTTGTGTTCGTCATATTCTGAAACTAGCTCACCTACTTTTCATTCAGTTTTATATCTTTCCAACTAGTAGTTGCACCATAGGATTACTGATCTGCTGTTTCCATACACATCTGAAATGTATTTTTAGTGTCTGGACTGGAATGCTGTTTGTAGTGAACCTCATTTTTTCCTAGACGGAATGACATCAGTAATAAATGTAGTGGAATATTTTGAGTGTAACTGGGACAACACGTGAGTTGTAGAGAAAAGCTGACAGCCGAACTTCACGTGAATTATAATTATTCATGGGGGTCACATAGAAACTGCTGGCCAAATGGAATTCGTGTAAATCGGAGAACACGAATTCGGAAGCACGAGGAGGGCATTAGAAGGTTATATAATGCCTTAGAAAGGGCTGGTAGTCAGTCTCGTTTGGGCCAAGGAACAGAGTGCGTGGACAATGGTGGAAGGTGTGTGGATCCAACATGTGTTTGAGAGTGAAAGTAGTTCCAATGTTTAACTTGGCCATCGGAGCGAGCAGACGACAAGATGTCTGCCGGCTGTGTTAGTCAGCGTCAGAACAGCTGTTGTTTTCGTTCATTGTGCTTGTGGTAGGATGACTGTAATTTCGGCTAAAAAGTAAAGTGATGTATTTGATGTCTGAGTTACAATGTATGCCTGGACAGTAGTCTATTTCATGTGCCCGCTGAGAAAGTTGCGAGTGGAAGAATCAAGTGCAGAAACAGTCTTGTGTTGTTTTCCAGTCGTCCATTTTCTGCTCGTTGTGTGATGTCGGTGTGTGAAATAGGAACCATGCAATGACGAGAACCAGATAGAAGAGAATAGAGAGGCATTGCACTGTTTATGCATGTGGTGGATTTACTAAGACCAGTAGGTTGTAATGTGTCAATTTATTTTTTCACAAAGTACAGTAATCTGCATTCTGTGTGGTTTTCATTGATACTTGCACTGGAATGGAGCAACTATGGGATGAAGTTGGAACTGCGATTACACTAGTCAACTTTTAAAATGTACCACAAATGAAATTATTTGATCTGAACTAATTTTGGTGTGCTGAAAACGAAAATGACATTTAAAAACATTGAATGGCTTTAGTTTTCAAAATATATGCTACTATTTACTTAATTAGGGCCAAATTATATATATTACATAACTGTTGTGGCCGGTTGCATATTTTTTTTTCTAATGAACAATAAAACTGAAAATGATGCTGTCCTACCTAAGACAACATCTCCTCTGTGTATAAATGTTGTTGCCATTAGTGTCTTTGTCTTTATTAATACTATCATAGCTAGAAATGCCTAGGGCGTGTGTGAACAGAGCTGATAACTTATGTATGTGGTGAGGTGACATTTCTCTCACAAAAATGAAATATTGTGATTAAAAAAGCATAGTTTGTATTTTTACTGCAGAATAGAAGATCAAGGTAAGAGCTGTGTGCCATATAGGCTGCAATTCGCATGCAGCAAATCTTAAACTGTGGTTGACTGGCAAAAGATTAGCAATGTCTTTTGCATCCCCAATGATTTGGGGAGAGCCCACTGATCTAAACAACTGTTACTTCTGCATGGTTTCTCCAGTTGGGAAAGGCATTTTACAGAAGAAGAAATTGACTCTGGAGTATCCTAACATTCCCTATATAATATTTCCGGTACAAAATGGCGATGATCTGCCTGTACCAGAAATATTTTCAACTTCTTCGACTGATGAAGAACAGGACATTGGTGGCCTTAAACCACCAACCTCAAGCAACCCAGATTATGAGCAAACTACATCCACAAAAACCAAACTTAAAAACCTAAAGTAAACTGAATGATCTTGTGAGAGATCTAAATTTACCGAAGAACAAAGCAGAGCTTTTTGGTTCCAGCTGCAACAGTGGAATCTTCTGGCAGAAGATGTTAGAATTTATCTGTATAGGAACCGGCACCACTTAATATATGTTTTTTTTTTTAAAGAAGGTGACCTTATTGAATGTCACAAGATTTGTGGGCCAATGGTAGCCTTCAAAAATCAATTACAAACTAGAAAATTGGAGGCTATTCATTGATTTATTCAAGAGGAGTCTTAAAGCTGTTTTGTTGAATCATGGTAATTATTACCATAAATTCCAGTTGGTCAGGCAGTTCACATGAAAGAAACTTATGAAAACATTAAGCAGCTTTTGAAGTGTATAAACTAGTCATCATCACTGGTTACTCTGTGGGGATTTAAAAGTGGTTGCGATTCTGATTATACTACACTACAGAGTGTATATATACCAAGTACTGCTGCTTTCTCTGTGAAGGGTATACCCATGCACGACATGACCATTACATCAGAAGACATTGGCCAATCAGCGGCCATTGCAGTCTGGCAGTAAGAACGTTGAAAACCTGCACTTGACACTAGCAAGATTTGGTTGCCACCCTTGCATGTTGAGCCGAGTCTCATGATAAACTGTGTCAAGGCCATGGAGAAAGTTTTCAAAAATTTAATCAGAAAATTTTGAAGACAGTGAAGCTAAAATGAGAAAAGGAGTATATGTTGTTCCACAAGTTCCAAAACTTCTTCACGATGAAGTTTCTCTACATGTTGCATGGTAAGGAAAAAGCAGTGTGGCAGTGGTAGGCATTTTTTGTTGTTGGAAACAACAGATTTGATAATTACAATGAGATTGTAGAAAATCTCCTTCTGAAGTATAAGAGTCTTGGCTGAAATATGCCTCTATGGTGTAGCGTCTAGACCCCCACCTGCGGATCAAAAGGTCATGGATTGGGGTCCTGATGGAGCCCGACTTTCTTTTTGGGAGTGGCCGCGGCTAGATCGTTAGGTCATGGGTTTGCTCCCTGGCGGGGCCAGACTTATAAAAAAAAAATGACCCTGACTCTCAGGTCGACCTAAGGTTGAGTGGGTACAGGGTGAAGTCCCGGGAAGTAAAAGCGGCCAACGCAATGCTGACCATATCATCTATCTTGTGACATTTGGTCTACAAAAATATAAGTCTAGCCTTATACACCTAAAGGCGTGGAAAAGGGACCTTTACTTTTTCTTACCTATTAAACTGAGTAGGCTATAATCCGAATAACGGCCCCAAATTATCGAGGCTAAGAAAATACCCTAACAGGGCCTCAGTCATATGTAAATTCTGGACCTCTTTCCAGCGACTATTATGCCACCCCCAATAGTATCCCCGGCCCGGCAAGGAGGAGGGGCTAACCTAGATGGCTGGGACTCACGGGCAAATAAAATGGAGGAAGCTGCAAGAGATGCGGTAGCTGCTGCTCGTGGGTCCCAGCCATCTTCCTCAGTCGTGTGTAAAATGCAGACTTTCTGACAAGAAACAAATCGCGGCAAAACTAGGATTACTTGACAATTTCAAGAGATGCAACACTGCAGACGATAACAGTGACCGTTGAAAGTTTCAAGCGTTTCTGCAGACGATAATAGCGACCATTGACAATTTCGAGGCACGCAACATTACAGATGATAATAGCCACATGGCGGGGAGACCACGCGCTCTGACGCAGATTAGCGTCGTTGTTGTCCTCACACTTTTCGGTGTGCGCAAAACGCAGTTAAACTCACTGCCGACAGTATCCCACGCACCGCTACGCGCAGCTGTGGATTTAAACTAGATGCCTGGGACTCACGAGCAAATAAATTAGAGGAAGTTGCAGGAGATGCGGTAGCTGCTGCTCGTGAGTTCCAGCCGTCTAGTTTAGCGTAGTGGCGCGGGGGAAACTTTCAGCGGTGCCGCATAGTTGCAGAAACAGGTCCGCAATTAACATATCGATGAGACCCTGTTAGAGCATTTGTTGCGTCATTCGGAGCCGATCCTAGTTTTGCCGCGATTTGTTTCTTGGCAGAAAGTCCGCATTTTATCCACGACTGAGGCTATTTACTTGGCCGCCATAATATCGGGTAGAGAGAGCCCAAAAAAATGGTAAAAACTTTGTTGACCAGTTTTACCTGATGGTCAAATTACACTTCATCAGCTTCTGCTAGTCAAATCACAACATTAGCTTCTGACCAAAGGTAACAAGTAAACTTGCGCCACAACAGGTCTATTGACTGGCATCGGCTAACTGGAGATTGAATATAATTATTAGTATTAATTACATTACTATATTTTATTATTTACTACGCAAGACAAAAATCAATATCTCACGGTAATTGCTACTTGGTCATCTGCCAAGATAAGGGCGGCATAAACGCAAGCGAGTTCATCTGTATTGGCCATTATTATTGTTTTCACGTATGGATTTCAAAACTTGTTGAATACTTTAGTGTACGCCGCCGAATTGGCTTTAGCTCGGTTGAGAGCGATACACCTTCTTCACCAGAGGTTTTCACAAAACGGAAGTGGTAATTGTTGTTTGTTTTGCGACCTCTGGCAGACTTATACTTCCGGGTCAGTTATCTGCATCAAGAATTTCCTGCCGTCTCCATAATTGGTTCATCATCTTCATCATCATCATCATGTGTCAGGTATCATTTGCAGAGCGTCGTCCTCGTGACGGCAAAACGGATTGTCGTCTCTTGCCAATTTGGCTAAAGCGTGAACGTCCAGCGCCTTTGAAATTCCGGCAACGACGGTCGTGCTGGTTGACTCAGTTTCGGAACTGTATACCTTCTGTCAGGGGCAAATATGTGACCTGCAATGAAGCTATACAAATTGCGGCATTGTCTATTCATATTCTGTGCTGACGAAGGCTTTCTAGCCACAACGTTTACTTGTCTGTAATAATGTGAAGCAAACTGGTTCTTTTTTCGTTTGGTCTGATAGGCTTTCTTAGTATTTTTATAGCTTCACTGCAGTTCAGGAAGAAATGCCATCTGATGAACTAATAATGACTGCAAACAGGGCAAAAAAAAAAAAATTATACACATGAAAGTATAAAAGAAACAGGAATACATCACATAAGAAACGTTAAGGTTAAATGATGAAAGAAGAAAATTGAAGCAAACGAGGACAGAAACCTGCAACGCAGTATATAAAACCACATGAAGAAACTGAAAAATGTGATCAGAGTAAACAAGAAGCAATTTGTAATCAAAACATGCAATGAAAAAAGAGCATCTCCAGCAACAGTGAAGGGATAGAGAAATGTTCAAAGAGATCAGAACACTAACAAAATAATATAAACCTTTAAATAATGTAATAAACGATAAAAATAATAATGTCTTGGCGGGAAAAAAAAACTACTAGAAAAGGGGGAAGAATTATTGTATGAAAATGCACGAAGATTAGGAAAAAAAAACATGCCAGAAATCGAAAAGAAAACCCGAAACTCTATTAGGGGAAGTGAGAATAGCAATAAAGAACCTGAAAAGGGGTAAATCTACGGGCTGCGATGACATACCAGCATAATTAATTCAGGCTTGATGAGAAGCCAGCGTTATGCTATACGGTGCACTATGTATGAACAACTGGAACAGTGCTGTTCGGCCCAAAGCGTGAAAAAGATCAGTTTATATCACACCCCCCCCCCCTTTTCCCTAAATTATTGAACAGTTATCGTACAATAGCTCTAATTAGTCATGCCAGAAATATAATGGTGCAGCTCATCTTGAGGAGGCTCGATAACAAATTGAAATATGAACTACAAGGAACACAAGCGAGTTTCAAACGTGGCAAAGGAACAAGAGATCATATTTTTAATATGAGAATCATCCTAGAGCAGTTTAGAAAATACAAGATAGATCTTCATACATGTTTCATAGACTACAGCAAGGCTTTTGACTGTGTGCAATTCCATACACAGTGGCATATTATGAGAGGCACAGGATTTCCAAAACATATGGTGCACCTAATGGAATCTCTTTACCATGAATAACAAGCAGCAGTCAGATTAGCTAGTGAAACATCAGAGTGGTTTCAAGTAGGGCTGTTCCGAATATTCGCTTCGTATTCGCTTCGGGGCCGAATAGTGGACCCAATAACTATTCGGTATTCGGCCGAATAGTTGCGGTCGGGCCGAATACGAATAGTGGTTACCTCAAAACCGTTTCTGGACTGGTGGAAAAAACATCAAGACTTCCCACCTTGGTTTATACTGTGAAGCGTTAACTTTGTGCACCACCTACGAGCGTACCAAAATGCCCCTTTATTTCCATCTTGCATGTGTTGCGAGTATAGTGTTTTTAGGTGTGTTGCTGTAGAAACAAAATGCAACACTTAAAAATGTAAGAGGGGCAGAAAAGCAAGTGTTCTAGTGTTGTCGGCTTGATTTCTTTGAGCGGAGTGTCCTCTTCGTTGATTCTTTGAAGTAACGGGAGTTCGTCATCATTTATGGGTGTCATATCTGTTCTTTCGTCGTCTCGTGGAAACGGCAGCGGCTGAATGTTTTGATCGACGTTCGGTTTCTTGATTGTCTTTGTTGTTTGATCTTCTGGCGTTGGCCGCCCGGGGTCTGGTTTCGTGAGCTCGCGGGGGGCTGGGCGACTTGTAAGGACGGCATTGTTTTCTTCGTCGGCGTTATTTTTGTTTTTGATGTTTCGCCTTGCGGGTTTTCATTTTGACTCTCTGTATTTATCTTTTTTCCTGTTTAGTACAGCTGGAAATACCTTCAGTGAGACAAAAAGCTGGCCTAATGCTGACAACATGGAACGAAGGTTTTTCATGGAGGTGTGTCAGCACACGAACTCATACGGGCTGCAGGAGATCGCAGATTGTGGCGAGGCATAACCGCCCATGCCAGCCGGCAAAGCACATGATGATGATTCACTATTCGTATTCGTATTCGGCCGAATAGTTGGTCCAGCTATTCGTATTCAGCCGAATAGTGAAAATCACTATTCGGTACAGCCCTAGTTTCAAGTGCAGAAATGAGTTAGCATTCTTTCTCCGTGCCTTTTAAACATGTTGAAAATATAATGAGAAACGCATTTAGTGATGGAGCATGTAACAGCTTTGATCGACTAAAAATTGGAGGTAATCCTACCCCAGAACTCAGATATGCAGATGACACAGTTATTCTTTCCAACAATGTCAAAAAGCACAACGAAGCAGTAAATCTTTTTTCAAAATTTGGAGAGATAAAAATATGTCCTCAGTAAATACAGCACACCAAACACATATAATAAAGAAATAGAAACTGTCACATATTTCGAATTCTAGGGCCCTTTAGTGAACAGAGGTACTGAGGAAATTGGGAATGAAAAGAGAGTTGCTAGGTGAAATAAAAAAGAGACAAGTGAAATATTTTGGCCACATTAAAAGACATAACAGTATTGTAAAGATCATCCTACAGGGAAAGGTTCAAGGTAGGCGAGCAAGAGGCAGACAGCGTTACAAGTGGGAGGATAACATCAAGAGATGGACGAACAGCAGTATGAGTGAGTGTACATCAAGGGCAAGAGACAGGGCTTGTTGGAGATCCATTGCAGCCAACCTTCATTGTGGAGACGGCACCTGATTGATTAGTGAACAACAATGGCGACTGCTCTCAAGAAGTCAGAAGAAGACTTACATTAGCAATGCATAGATTAAACAGCGCGAAGAACCTATGGCAAAGAACCTATAAATTAGTTAAACTAAAGATCTTGAGATCATGCATTTGTTTCTGTGGCAACTAACGGTTGTGAGTCCTTGACTCTCAATTATTTGAGAAAAAGATTAGAGCTTTTGAATTAAAATATTACAGAAAAATTATCAGAATACATGAATCAAGAAGAGGGAAAACGTCGACATTATACAGGAGTTAAACATCCAGGAGAACATGAAACAGCACCGTGTCTCGAAAGTTGAAGTATTTTGTCCACATCAAACGTCATGTTGGCTTGGAAAAGAGAGTGTTGGAGGGTGCAGTTTGTGGAAGGTGAGATAGGGGTCGACCTCCGCGAGCTTCCGGTCAAAATGGACGCTAGGCACGATCACTGTTTTGAATCGTGGCAAATTTTTTGCTTCTGCCAGACAGTGGCCGTAACATTTTTGCTCCATTTGTAGACTTAAAGGATTTAGTTTCGTCGCCCAGCTTCTGAGTTGAGTGCACGGTGCGACACTGTAAGCTGCGGATTTCATTTGGAATGTTTTTCGACTGTGACCAACGTGGTGGTGTGAATTGTAGATTCAGAAAATGGTGCACTGCCTGTCGTCAACAGAGAAGGGAAAGAGAAATGTACAAAGAGATTAGAACACATGCCAGTATGATACACACTAAGAAGGTGCAGTGACACGATTCAGTCTATTTGCCTAGGTATTTTCCTAGATAAAAAAAATTACCAGTACTCAACACAACGTGTCTTAAAAAATGTTGCTGGTACTCAATGTAAAGTGTCTACTACAGTATCGCTGAAATAAAAATGACGCCCTAAATAGGTACCCGTACTGCGTACTGTTGCGTACCGCAAGGAGAAAAAACACGATTTTAAATGTCTCTAACTGATCTACATTGTCCTACTTTGTCTTACTTATCGTGCCCGACTATTTCCATCAACGACAAACTGCATTTCTGGCGGCGATTGTTGGCTTTGGCGCCTCTAGCAACTGAAATACGCACATACTTCTGGATTGCCTAGGGACTAATTGTTTATTCACCAGTTTTGTCAAAAGGGACAGTGAGGGACATGTCAGTTTGATTTGCACTGGCACAAGAACGAAGCGAGTATGGGGAAACCCGATTGCAGTGTTGTTGAAACTACGACTAAGACAAAGTCTAAGGCTAAGACTTTAGACTGGTGTGAATTAAGCCATTAAGTGCTTTAGTTATGGGCAAGTCGTGCGGATTACAGGTTGGTGCAATTTTAACTCTTTCTTGAGCTGTAGTGCTAGGGGTTGATTTCCAGTATGGATGGCCATTAAAAAACACAGTAGAAGAGTCGCACTGTGAAAGAGATTGGGACCTCACTGCATAATATTCTCAAAGACTTTGGCCAACTTTCGTTGTGGAGACGGCACTCGGACATTTTTATGGGCAAGTCAAGCTTGTGAAGAAAAGACAATCATCATCATATACCATGCCTGTGGGGATTCTGAGGCCTTTTGTGGGGGGGGGGGGGGGGGAGATTGAGGAGAGAAGAAAAGACCGACTGTCTCGCCCAAAAGCATGTCGTAAAAGTCGACTAATAACGGAATTTTTTTTAAGTCGGAGTGCATCTGCATGAAAGACAAGGAACCAACAACATGCATACAAAATGTCAGATATATGAAACGGATGTGCACCTAACATTAATGGTTCTGTCACAAGACTAACGAACAGGGGTGGACAAACAACCAGAACTTTTCGCCGGAGTTTAGAT